TGGAAGCTGAGACAGGCAAAGACACAAGGAGCACAGCACTGAGACACCTTGATTTTAGACTTCTGACTTCCGGCATGCTAGGGAGATAATCCACATTGCTTTCAACCCTGAAATTTGTGGTAATTTGCTGCTGAAGTAATGGGAAACAGAGGCAATACTGTATAAAATAACCCCAGATTGTCCCCAAGGAGCACCCTCAGGAAGGCTTTATATAGAGAAATTATTTCCTCTCATCTTTCTTTTCTCTTGCTCTTCCAAAGTATTTATAGTTTGGGTTTCTCATGTGAAAGAAACCATCCGATATTTGATCTTCTGTGTCGGATTTATTTCCCTCAGCGCTACGGCCTCAAGATGACAGGACATGTGGATGTAGATTTTGTGGGGGCGGGAAGGAGATCTGGGCACGGCAGGAAAGAGGGAGGAGGAAGGGAGAATAAAAGTGATGCGATACAACATACACAGGGGCCAATTCCCCGAGACAGATAGCGTCACACATGAACCTCAAACACAAACCAATAAACAGTACTGGAAAAAACAAAGGAACAATGAAGCAGTAATAAAGAAGAGCCATCGCATGGTTTTCCTGTCCTGAACACAAGTTTTTGTTGGCACAGCCTGGTCTGAGGGGATGTTCCTGGCACTGGTGGTGGGTGACACGCAGAGCGTGGGGAATTCACTCCACCGCCTGCGACCTCAGGGCAGACCTTGTCCACCCGCCCGGTCTGTAGCTATTCTAAACGTGTTCGCCTCGTCCTCCCATTCTCTCCCTCCCCCTCCCTCTCTCTCTGCGTCTATCTCTGTTTCCCGTCTCTCTCTCTGTGTTACAGGTTAGATGTGATGTGGACTCCACGCTTCCCATGTTTGGGAAGTGCCTGGATCACGGCTGTGTTACACTCGCCCCCGGGTTAATTCACTAGTGAGTCTATAGCTGAAGGTGATATTAGGAGGTGGGGTCTGGTCCACGCAGGTGGCTGCGGGGGCGGGGTCTGGAAAGATGTGTATTTCTCCGCTCTCTCTGAGCTTCCCGGCCACCCCAGCCAGAGGAGCTTTGCTCGGACCGGGCCCTTCCAACATTGCTGTTTTTGCCTTGGAGCCGACCGAGCATGGACTGCAACTGTGAGTTAAGATAAACCTCTCCTCTTTCACGTGGCAGGAGTGGAACACTGCCAGGGACCAGGAAAGTGGCTCGGGCACTATCTCTGTCTCTTTGCTCCTTGCTCTGTCTATCTCTGCCTCCCTCTCTCCATCTCTGTGTTTCTGAATCTCTGTCGGTCTCTGTCTGTCTCTGTCCCTTTGTACCTCTGTTTTTGTCTCTCCCTCTGTCTTCCTAGGTCTGTCTCCGTGTTTATCTCTGTCTCTCTGTGTCCTGTCTGTCCTTTCTTTCTCTTTATCTACCTCCATCGAGTTCTCCTTGGCCTTCTGTCTATCTGTATGTCTGTATGTCTGTCTGTCTCTCTCTCAGCTTTAGAAGGCCACCCTGACTCTGGGCTAACCCTGTGTGCCTTTGTTCAATGTCTATCTTCCGACTGGGGAAGGCAAAAGACTATAATTTGTCCCAGTATAATTTCTGGAAGAAACCAAGTGGTACTGACACATAGTATTTGCTCAGTAAATTGTGGAGAGTAAATTATTGACTTTACTCTCCCTCAGAACATTTCTAGAGCTATACCTGATCTTTCAGAGACCGTGCATCCAGTCCACTGTCCTGTCTACAGATAAAGAACCAAAGCTCCCAGTGGTAAAAGAGTTAGCTCATGCCTCCCGGCTGAGGGTGAAGGACTCCTTTCCAGCCAGCATTCCTTCCAGTTATGGGTCACACAGCATCTGGCTTTGTGAACAGCTCATCTGAAAGGAGGTGAAAGGGGCTAGGAGGAGCAATGCACTCTGTTCTGAAAGCCCTTTCTTTGTAATGGCGACTCACTTCCCCTTTTCTGGGAAATCTTGCTTCTTCAATCTGTCCCGTGAATTGTATAGCTGGGGCAGCTTTCCTCCTCCTCATTGTAATTACAGCGCTTCAGCTGGGAAGTAAGAGGCCACAGGCATGGGCAGTTTTCAAACCGTGTTCCACGGAACCCAGGTCTCTGAACAGACCCCTGCAAGGTAAAGAGGACAGTGGGCCCGGGCTTTGGGGTTTGTACCCTATTCAACCCAGGCAGCTCCTCTTTTGTATACTTTGTCTGGCAGTTCTAGGTAAATTTGCATTGGAAAGTGAAGAGCCCGCTGTGGGACAGTGTGTTTAGCCTACCCGCCCGTGTAGTCCAACCCTCTAAGTTTGAGAAAGAGGAAAGTAAGGGTCAGAGCAAGGGGGTGATCTGTAAGAAAATGTGAGAGCTCGATGCAAATTGCATTCTGAGTGAGTTCTCTGCAGAACCATTTTCTCTCTGTGAAGAACGCACTCACGATCACACGCAGCACACACTCCCGTGATCACGCGCACCATGCGGCACAGGGCAGGGGGACTGACAGCTGTGCACGCCTGCAGCCAGGCGGTGTGGCTCCTGTGTGCTGGAGCTCTCCCCCTGCAACCTTCTCACCTCCCTTCTCCCCCTCACTGGCTGCTCCCCGCAATCTCTCTGCCCTTGGGGAGCTCTGTGTTCCAGCACCAGCAATGGCAGAACAGCAGTTCTTCCCGGGTTGCTGGGAAAGGAAAAGCCTTCCACATTTCCGACTGCAACCTTCTTGCAGAAGGGAAGTGGGGATCTCTGGCGAAAGAGTTTCAGACTTGAGTGAAGGCGCAATTGTAGTGTGTGTGTGTGTGTGTGTGTGTGTGTGTGTAATAAGAAAGTTTATTTCCCGAAACCCAGGTATTACAGTATTTGACATGATTCAAATATACAGTGAATGTTTAAATTTGAAAACAGTGTATTATGTGTCAAGGTGCATCTGCTTTCCTACCAGTGAGTCGATTTTATTCTTCTTTATAGTGGAGCAGTGCTCCATTTTGGTAAGTAACGTACCAAAGATTTAGCTTCCAAGATTTAGCTATCGTGCGTTGTCTGCTATACGCACGGGTGTGCACGGATCCCTGCATTAGGATGTCTTTAACTCTTTTGTGAGGATACCTTAAGGTCATCATGTTAAGTGAAATAAGTCAGACACACAAGCTTAAGTATTGCATGCTTTCTCTTACCTGGGAAACTCAAAGTATAAATAAAGCCCAAAATAAAAGATAGACGATAGGAAGCCGGGCTGGATCTCTGGCAAATGAGAAGGGGGCCAAGAGATGGCAGAGGGGGACAGCAGGAGGAGACTAGCGTGAGAAGGAATCAAGAGGTGCACTGTGTGTGGACTCATGATGCACGGCAAACGTAAGAATGGAAATTAGAAAGTAAAAGCGCCCAAACACTTTGAGGGGGATTCATGGCGATGTGATTTTAACGTTGTAATTCAAAAAAATTTAGATATTAACCGTATACGCGATCACCCATGTACAGTGTGCCCCTCCGTTTTATTTATGAAAATGCTAACCACATCCAAATAGTCAGAATGAAGAAAGTCGGGCTGGCGGAGGTGACCCGTGGAAACTTCCCCACCCACACTCAGGCGCATTTGTCCAAACACAAAGATTCAAGCTCAAAACCGAGAATGGAAAATATTTGAGTGGCAGAAAGAGAGAACTCAAAATCAGGGCAGTAGGAGGGGTTTGCAGCCCTGTGGCTGAGGGGCTTTCTGAGCCAAACGTACACTGAAGGGCAGGGTCCTGGGGTGCTGAGGGCTGCGGAGGGGGGCGGCGCAGGCCTCTGGCCCGGTGTCTGCTGTTTGAGGGGTGCTGAGACCATCCTGACACTCACCAAGAGGGGTGTCCACATCCACACATGTGGGTCTTGGGTCACATCGAGCCACACCAAGACCCGCACCAACCCCGAGGCAGGCTAAGTACGGTTTTGAGCCGCTTGGGGCACAAGGCAGAGCAAAGCAGCCCCCACAGCAAACAACCCTGCTAGAAAACTTGTTCAAGACTCACAAGTCACAAACCATACCAGGCAACGAGTCACCCCCAAGGGGAAGTATCAGCAGAAACAACCAAGAGGAAAATGTGCACACCATGACCTATATGTAAGAGAATATTCTGAAATCGCTTTAGTAAAATGTCAGGTCATAGCTTTCACTTGAAGCTATTTGCTGTAACGGGATTGCAGAATCATGGACCAAAGGTCAAGCAGAGGCTGGAAAGGAACTCAACAGACTTGTTCTACAGAGAGTGAAATAGAGACTCAGAGATGGGAAGTGACTTGTCTAAGGTTACCAGTAGGTTCGTGGCAGAATGAGGAATAGAATCCAAGTCCAGGAAAAACCAGATCAGGAAACCCAGCTCTGCTTAGCAAAGCTCTGATTTGGCTCTTTAATAACTCGGGCTTTTAAATACGTGCCCCTCTCATTTGCATTGCACCGGTCTGATCCCACTTTCCTTAGTTTTTCTCTGACTGTCGGATGATGGAAGTGTGGCCATGGTTGGAGCAGGCCGGGTTCTTGAAATTGAGCACTGTATCACCACCAGTTGGTCATGATGGACCGCATGGACGACAGTGGTCCTGTCCATGGACAGTGGGGATGAAAATTCCTACAGCCCACAGACATCCTCACCATCATGACCTCAGAGTACAGCACATAACGTACGCAAGTGAGTACAGAAACTACTGCAGCGCCAGGCTTATAAAGCTACACCACACACAGCTACAACAGTAGATAACGCACGGTGATAAGAATGAGTGAGTGGGTTGCGGGTCTATGTTTCCACTGTATAGCACACCGTCGGCAGCCTCAGACGTCTCCTGTTGTCTGGATCTCTTAGTTCCATCATTTTCTCTTGTGCTAGATTTAACCTTAGAATGTTTTTGGTCATCAAGGTCCATATGTATTCATTGGGCTGGGGATTTAGCTCAGCGGCACAGCACCTGCCTGGCAAGGGCGAGGTCGTGAGTTCGATTCCCGGTACCAGAAAAAAACAAAAACAAAACATATATATTCATAATTTATTGATAATGTTTCCATTAAGAGACCATAGTGAGTGATTGACCTGCAAGTGAAAATAAAATGAAGGACTATGAAGCTATATGGTAGGTTATACCATCTGGGTTAAACACTCTGTACGATGTGCACACAAAAAACTTGCCCTAAGGTGCATTTCTCAGAACATATCCCTATTGTTTGTTAAGTGACACGTGACTGTGAGCCTACGCAGGAGGGCTAGGGAGAGAGAGAAGGGTTGGACTAGGAACTTTAGGTCACCCTGGTTAGCTGTAAATACCTGTCCAGGACAAGCGTAGTTTGGGTTCTTGCAGGGCCAGAGCTTGAAAGAGCAGATGAAATGTAGGTAAGGTAAAAGCTTTTGGCAAGTAGGAGCAATTCCCTGGGCTTTTATGATTTATTTATTGTGTAAGACACCAAGGTTATACTACTGAAAGGTCACAGAGTTCAGATCAGAAAATTAAATTTTTCCAAAATAAGAAGTATAAATAGCACAAATACATTCACATAGAATATGCACCCCAAAGCATTTGAAGTAAATTGAAACAAAAGTCCTATAATCATATTCCTTTGGCTGGGGTATCCATGGCCAACCAGTCATGATTTGTTTTTCCAGGGAAATGTTTGAGACATTTAGTCAGATTTGTCTGCTTTATTCACTATTTATCAGTTCAATATTAACAAATACTGATTGAATATCAGGTACCAAACTGAGGTGTACTCCAGGATTAAAATGATGAATAGAGACACAGTCCTTGCCCTTAGTATAAGGATTGTCCAAATATTGCATGGGATGTATTCATATTTCAAAAACTAGACATTATTTATTGGAAATTCAAATTTAACTGGCCCCCTGTGCTGTGCAGTCTAGCGACTCTGCTCATGTCGGGGTGGGTGGGAGCTACTGGGCGGGTGAAGGCTGCTCCGAATGCGAGCGCAGCCTCTTCCAAGGCGGGGCTGAGGGGTTGGAAGGGCAGGGGTGGGGTTCACCCAGGGCTGTTCCGGGGAGGTAGCTCAGAACTTGGGGGGTGTAGTCACATAGGTGTAGTCACATCCTTGCTGAGGGAGTCTAGGAAGACACTGAAATGGATCCGAGACCACATGGGCCTGTGGATTCCGAGAGGCTTCCAGGAAGAAATCGTGTTTGAGCTGAAATATGCAGGTCAAGCAGGAGTCAGCCTAGAGAAGTTAGAAAACAGCGCAGTCTGAACAAGCCGCAAGGTCCGCTCAGCCTGTAGGCAGAGCACTTTAGGGCTGCGAAACTGCCTACGGCCCTCTCTTTCCCTGTGCCTCCAAAGATGATTAATTCTTCAATGTGAATTCCATTCTCTCTCTCTGTCTCTCTCTCTCTGTCTCTCTCTCTGTCTCTATCTATCTATCTATCTATCTATCTATAAAACCCTCCCCAATACATAGTGCAGAAACTTTCTTCACATATTGTACCGTCCTCAAGCTTGTAAATATGCGACACTCGGGTTAAAATTGAAGGAAGCTCCACATCTCTCCTTGGAGTCTCCTGCCTTGCCCTTACACTATATTTGGGATTCTTCTGGGTGTTAGAGAAACTCCTCAGAACCCTCCCCTGTGCATGGAAGGGCTGTGGAAATATTGAAATATTTTCCCCTGTAGCTTGATAGGTGCTTCTCCAACCCCCCAGTTGCACCATCCACCTTGATCACCAAATTCTCCATGACCCAATAATAAAGGAACAGTTGGCCCAGCCGGAGGTCCCCAAGGCCCTGGCACTGTGGCCTTCACCCACTTCAATTAGTCAGTAGACAAGATAGGTGTAGTCACATGCTCACTGGCTCCTGAATATCTAGTTCCTGAACACCTAAGCCAACCACCTTCTCTTGCTTGGGTCATGGAGCAAATCATTGTCCAGGTAGCCACAAGGGAACAGACAGTCTGGTGTCAGCTGAAGTTTCTTAAGAACCAGAGCTTAAGTTTCTTAAGAACCAGAGCTGTCCAGAGACAGGAAGTAGAGTGATGCTACACTGTGAAAACAACCAGGCAGAGTTTGATGGATCTTTGAGACTTTTAGGGGAGGCTCAAGCAGTGGCTGAAAGGGCAGGTTCTCGCTAATTATGGGAGTCTATAATTCTGTCATTCTAATTCTGGGTCAGTAAGTGAAATACCCTGGGAAAAACCCAGCCCCCAACTGTTTTTAAATGATTTACTGAAACACCATCATATCTGTGCATTTGCGTATCACCTGCTTTTGCATCATAGGAGCAGATCTAAATAGTTACCACTAAAAGTATTTGCTTATGAAGCCTAAAATATTTACTATGTGGTCATTTATAGAAAAAGCTTGTCCATTTTGTTCCAAAGGATGCATGGAATGAATTCTTTGATAAGGCAATTAATCACTCCTAATTTACTTGCATCTTAACCCAGGTGGCAGTTCAATCAGATTGTTTTCCTTAAAGAGATGCACGTCCTTGCTTAGGATATTAGTAGACAACATCCAAGTGTTCCGTCTGAGTTAATACGGCTTCCCATGTAGACTACGGGGAGAAGCCAAGGTCCCGAGATGCTCTGACCTGCGCTTTCCCCAGTCCCACCTGAACACCCATGCGGACTTCACACTAAGCTCAGCCACAGTGAAAGCTGGTGTACGCTGGGCTCCCACCTGCACCATGAAAAGCTCTCCCTGGATGGCTGCTGCTAGTCCTCTTAGCAATGCCATCTGCTGCACAGAGGTGGACACTACTGCTAGTGCACAGTTGAGGAAATGAAAGCTTAGGAAGACTCCAGAACTTTCTCAGTGTCACATATGGAGACGGGATGTCACTTTTGTTTCAATTCTGAAACCTCCTTCTCACTCCATATTTGCCAGTGCAGCAGTTGAGATATTTCAACAGCTGTGGAAAACAGAACAAAATCTCATGACCACATAGAGCCACAGTCCGGCTCTAGCTCTTAATCTCCCATTTAGGCAATTGAACTGTTTCAGTAAAAGCCTGAAACTCCCAGTTCCACATACCTACGTGACAGAAGAACCTCCTCTGTCAGAAGGACAGTGACAGAAGGACACTTTCTTGTTTTTACCCTAACTTGTTCATTTGGATTTCAAGTAGAAAGAAAAATGGTGGTGATTCCTACTTTGCTTCAGCTGGAAAAACACCTGGAGCTCCAGGGTTAAGAGAAGGAAAGACTGAAGGTTAGACTGGCTTTGTCCTATCCAATGATGGAACAAGTATAGAAACATGAACCCTGCCAACAGCCCAACACAGACACACCACTGCTCAATCACTTCCTTTGTTCAAATCTTCCTCAGAAAGGTAGTCAGTCACTTGACAAAAAGATGCAAGGACGGAGAATGGAGGACGTAAGAAAAATTCCACTAGATTGTCAGTCCCGTCATGAACAGAGATCTCCAGGTTAAACTGTTTGCAGCTGAGCAAGAAGGAAAAGGGCATTTTTCCTGTTATGCCAGTGTCATTAGGCGGCGGGGGAAGGGGTTGGGACTATGTGGAGGACCACCTGGATGACACCTTTCAAACGAAAAACAATTATCTCCATTTTAGCAAAACCTGACCCTATTTTTATGTATTGGTGTGTACAGAGCTGGCTAGGACCTTTCCCTATTCCTTCGATTGCCTGTAAGCAGTGCAAATCGGTCCAGCTGAGGTGCCGATGTGCGGTCTTGAAGCAAAGATGACAGGGCAGTGTTTCCCCACCCCCGCAGCGCCCAAGTAAAACGTGTGTGAGCCGAGCTGGGACGAGGAGGGATAGCGGGGCGGAGAGCTGGGCTCCATGCTGTCAGCTGGGATCCAGCTTCGAGATAAGAGGCTATGACTTCCCAGGGTATAAAAGATTACATATCAGAGCTAAGCACTGACCCCAAAACATCACACACTACCTCAGTGTGTCATGCACACCACCCTTTCTGCAGATCCCTCTCTGCATACTGCAGAGGTGATTTGAGGTCTCCTACCGAGCCCAGCTCACAGCACTCACCTACTCCCCACCACTCTCACGTCACCCATCCTCAAGCCACTGCCTTTTTTACAAATTAATAAAATCGGGGTTTGGTTCTGGATCAAGGCTTTTGATTCAGTTAGCCATCACTGCAGCTGGACTAGGAACCCCTTGATTTTTTATCATTTTGTATATATTATTGTATCTTTATTTATGCCATGGGTTGCACTGGGAGTGGTAGGCTGGAATTAGCTGGATAGGATTTTAATAGCTTTTCCATGGGATTACAAATATAAACCTCCTGCACCATGAGGAGGACCGCGAAGGGCTCTCCATAGTCCTAAACGCTTGAGCCTTGTGCCCCCAGCCTGGGAGGTAGGTGAATGGGAATCACAGCTCTGAGGGCTCAATCTATCTGCTAGACTTTTATCACATTAAATTTGACACTGGTTACTCCAAGACTGATACCTACAGAGGATTCCTGACCTATAGCAAGGGTTCAATCAGTACTGATTTCCTGGATTGATGAAGCAGGCGTTCCTTAGAATATCGTGTCAACAACAGCCCAGAAGCAGCCCCGGAGCGCAGTGGGAATCGAGGGTGTGACTCACCAGTGACATCTGCAATGGGGACCCAGCCAAGACTGGGTCTGGACCACATCGAGGTTCGCTTCTCCAGCGCAGCGGAAGGATCACTCTAAATCACAGTCTTATGCCTTCCAAACCTAAATCTGCAAAGAGGAAAGAGAACAGAAAGGCAATAGTTGGTAAGGATTAAAAAGATCAGGGGAAGCTGGCGCAAGAGGGAGGAAAAGACTAATAAAGAACAGGAATAAAATAGCTTGGACTGCCCAGTTCTGGCCTTGCTTTCTTCTCATGGGACATCTGTACCGTCCACAGTAAAAGAAACCTTGAAACTATTGTACTCTTATTTTCGTGGTCAGCGGATCAACAATCCTGGTGGGAAAAACTGAGCGAGCGAAGCTGGTACAGCAACTTTCAAAGCATCTGGTTAGGAAGCAATGGTTCCAAAAAGAAAATATGGTCGCTTTGTTCACTGACACCTCCTCCAGTTCCCAGAACAAAGTTTATTGCAGAGTCTTCAAAAGGCAGGGTTCTCCGGTCCAGTTAGCAATGGTCTCCTGTCAATTTTCAGACTGTCCTGCTAGACTCCTGCTGAAAATGGAAAGGGGGTGGTTTTGGTGAATGCAACCGTTTTAGCCCACCATGCAGTGTGGAAGCAGGAAGCACCTGACCCGTTCCGAGCCCACAAAGTACTGAACCTCAGTCATGAGTCATGCTTGAGCTCTTCGTGAGAAGGCGTCACAGTGGTACACGTTCAAACTGAGATAGAAAGCAGACCTGGGACTTCCCTCTTGCTTCTTGTCAGAGGGAAGTGAAACTGCTTTTCAGCACCGCAGGTGCTTACCTCTTGTGGAAGAATTGCCTCTTTCCCCTAGAGGCCAAAGTTCTGAGTTGAACCCTGATCTTACCCTTCCTCAGGGGCATCTGGAGAGCTTATGCAATTGTAAGCACACTTCAGCATAAGACAGAGCAGAGCAAATAGCCGGGGGAAGGAATAAAACAGGAAAGGTGCGGGTGAGCATGCAGATCAAGCTCCTGGGCCCATTTCCTCATCATTCTGAGCCACTCTCCCTGCCCCAGCGTGCAAATGTAGGTGGAGACCAAAATTCCCACCATTTGCAGTTCTCCTTTCATTGTTTGCCTCAACTGCAAAGAGAACTTCCTTGAATACAGGAAATTCAGAGTCCTCAAGGTTTGCACCATTTTGGGGACATGAAAATGCCAGAAGTAATTTGCTCCTTTTAAAAGAAATGCATATATGTTGGTTATTCTCCTGATTACACACATGATACCTGTTATAATTCAGGACTTAATAGGTTCTCAGTAAATATTTGTTCAGTGGGTAAGACATGCTCATTTTTGGAAACTCAAAAAATACAGAAAAGCAAGAGGAAAAAAAAATTAGAAGTAATTTGTAAAACCTACCAACCAGATATAATTACTGTCAATGGGTTGGTGTAGATCCTTCTGGTTACACATATTTGTACATAGCTAGGGTCGTCCTGAATGTATCATCCTTTGTTTCACAACGTTATAGCATAGGAATTTCTCATGTTGTTAAAATTGAAGTAATTGTTCAGACTATAAAATCCTTGGTCACTCTTGTTGGATCTTTTAGCTATCTGCCATATTTTCCACGGTAAAAATGGAAGGAAGGATGTAGCCAAAAAGAGGAGGGGCGATGGGTGGGTGTTCAGAGCTACAGGAGCTCCTGCATACAGAAGTGTCTACATTCACCTTGCCTGTATTTTTGTTTCAGGAGATCAAGGACTCTAGAGGAGCCAGTCAAGTGAAAAGAAGAAGAAATTGTCAACGTGTCTCCAGGACAGTGTAAGTGAGAACATATTCCATCGCAAAGAACCTCCTGAGCTAATTTGGAGAGAAGTGTGTAGACAATGGGTTATTAGAAGTGCTCAAGGGCATTCAACTCTCATTTTCAAATTCTAGGATCCCTCTGCTGATACATATCTATGACAGTTACAAAAGAACCAGAACATCCTCTGAAGAGGTTTGGTTCTCTAGACAAAAATAGAAAGGAAACTTGTTCACAAACCAACCCCTCGTGGGAGGCTGGCGTAAGTCAGTGCCCTGAAGCATGACAGCCGTGGCATGAGTAGGTCCCGAACATGGTACTGCTGGGCTTACAGAGTGCTACCAGAGTCCACAGGACATTGCCAAGGACTAGTGAAATGGCCTTAGAGCTACACTACTGGCCTCTCCTTCCTCTTTCTCTTTCTTTCTTTCTTTCTTGTTTTTTTTTTTTTTGTCTTTTTTTTGAGACAGGATCTTGCTATGCAGTTCAGGTTGGCCTTGAGCTGACTTTGCAGCCCAGGCTGGTCTCAAACTTGCAACGATCCTCCTTCCTCAGCCTCCCGAGTGCTGGGATTACAGGCATGTGCCACCATGCCCAGCTTTTTTCTCTGTCTTTATTAATAAGTTTGCAATACATAACAACTGCATTCAGATTGGGAATGTGTAAGTATACACATAGTATCTTAACCACTTTCACTTTTCTCCCCATCTCTTCCCACTCCCAGGTCCCTTTCCCATCTCCACAAAACCAGCTTCCCCATTTGCTATCATCTTTTGCTCTGCTCTTTAAATTATTTCAATTTTGGGTTTCTCACATAAAAGAAACCATGAAATACTTAACTTTTTATGTCTGATTTATTTTACTTAGCATTATGGTTTCAAGGTGCACTCACGTTCCTACAAGTGATTCAAATATGTCCTTCTTTATGGCAGAGTAGAGCTCCTGAGTATATATATATATTTACCACATTTTCTTTACCCATTTATCTGTCTATGAGCCTACAGGCTACTTTCCAGATTTAAATATTATGCGTAGTGATACATGAGAATGCATGTGTCACTGAAATATGACAGCTTTAACTATTTTGCAGTTTTTTGAAGGGTCTCCATACTGGTTTCCGTAGTGGGTATACTAGTTTACATTCCCACCAGCAATGTCAAATGATTCCTTTCACTCACAGTCTTGCTAGCAGCCAGCATGTGTTGTTTTAAGTTTTTGATAATAGATTATATTCTTTCTGGACTAAAAAAGAATCCCAGTGTTCTTTTGATTTGCATTTCTCTAGTGGGCAATCACGCTGAACATTTTTTTATGTATCTGTTGGCCATCTGTGCTTTTACTTCTGACAAGGGTCTGTTCATTTCAGTTGCCCATTTCTCCTTCTTAAAATATTTTACTAGTATATGCGTGTAGTATGTAACATTTGCACTCCTTGTGAAGAGTTGGCACATGTACATAACATATCCCAATTCCTTTCTCTTATCTCTTACCCTTCCCTCCCTCCCCCTCCCTCCAGTTCTTGATATAGGAATCAAATAACAACACATGCTGGAGAGGCTGTGAGGAAAAAAGAATCTTTCTACACTGTTGGTTCACACTAGTACCACCACTATGGAAATCAGCATTGAGATTCCTCAAACAATTAAAACTGAAAATTCCATTTGACCCAGCAATTCCCTTTCTAGGTATCTTGAAAGAGTTAAAGACATCATATTACAGTGGCAATGCCTACTCATATTTATAGCAGCACAATTCATAAAAGCTAAATCTTGCTAGTGATCCATACTCATCCACAGATGAGTGGATAAAGAAAATGTGATATTTACACAAAATGGAGTACTGCTCTGCCATAAAAAGTGCAGACTTGAGTCCTTTGTAGGAAAATGGATGCACCTTGAGGCCATAACATTCAGTGAAATAAATCAGACACACAAGCTTAAATACCACATGGATTCTCTTACATGAGAAGCACAAATTATAAATACAGAGCAAAATAAAAGATAGATAATAGGAAGGAGGGGAATAGATCATTCTTAGCAGGAAAGAGGATCAATTACCCATTTCCTGACTGGACTTCTTATTTGGTGTTGCTCTTCCTCAAAGCACTCCTCACCTGCATAAATGAGCGTCTGAGGCAATTCAGTTCCTTGGAACGGTCTTTCTGTGATGTCTACAGGTGACAGTATAGTGAAACCTGTGCATGGAAATTGCCTCTTCTCAGTCTCGCACTGTATCTGCTTCCTGTATGATCTGGGGGCCATGAGGACCCAACTGGAAGTTCATTAACTGCTAGATTTCCTGGCTGTCACTCAGTATACTGAGACACATCGTAATTGTCCCCCAAAATTAACAAAGCTGGACTTCAATTAATCCTGGCACTAGATTAATGAGTTCGGAAACACTGCTGCTCATTATGGCAGCAACCAGACTTGGCATTAAAAACCCAAAAGAAAATTCATGAAATTATGTTCTTCTAATGATACAGCAAATGAATTGTTGCTTTAAAAAATGTTGGGTGATGATGAGTCATGTTCCTTTTTATCCAGTGCGCTGATTACATGCACCTAGCAATACAATGAAAAATTAAAGGTAAAACAACAGATACCACTCCCTGTAAACTGCACACATGCAGAAGCTATGTAAACGTGTGCATATGTACACATATACTCCTCGGGCACTGTGCGTTTTGGATAAATCAAAATCTAGATGACAGTATGGCTTTTGTCTTTGCTCAGACATCGGTGTCTGAAAGGAAACAGCAGAGTGTGGGGCCCCTGGCCTGCACTCGAAAGCTTGGGACAGGATGGCCTGGGGGTTCCCAGAATATTGCACACAGAATCCCCCTCAGCCCTTTTAATCTCTGCTCCAGCTAATGCCAGCTCCAAGTCAGCACTAGTCAAGCCTGTAACAGTGAGACCTCCTGAGACGTGTGTCCAGGCTTTTTACCTACGTCTTCTGAGGAAACAACCTCTGCCTCAGGAGAAAGGGAAGCTCGGGTTTGGCCTTGACCTCCAGCTAGCCTGGACATGGTGGAGGCAGGGTATCTCAGTAAGGGTGATGTTGCCACTGACCTCTGCATTTCTGGTAAAAAGGAAATTAGCCTCAGAGTTCCAGAAGGGATCAGTCAGGCGAAATTTTAAAACATCAAGCCCAAGAAAGTGAATAAACCCAAAGCCATCTGGTGGGGGACATAGTCAGGTACAGGGTCACACTCTCCAGGTGCCACTATTGCTACAGAGCAACGAGCTGCGCGTGGGGGACGCAGGGTAGGGACGTGCTGAGAATAGGGGGCTGGCTTTGTGTATCTACACACCATGACGTTTCCAAGTTCTAATGGACTTTAATATTCCAACCGAGTCTCATTTCCCCAATTCGCAGCATGAGCCACCTAAAGAGGAACTGGTGGTTTTAGGAGCGCTGTCGAAGTTGCTGTTTCTACAACGGCTTTCTCTCCCATCTTTCAGTTTGCAGCAAGTTCCCCAGCAGCTGCCGAGGTCAGTACAGAGCTGGAGCTTCCCGCGCCATGAACACCCTCGGGGCTGCCCTGCTCCTCTGGACTGTGGCGGCATGCGCTGGAACAGACGACCTTCTGCCTGAGCTAGATGAAACCGGGTTTCAGAAATGCCGGGATGCCTTGAAGCTACCTGTCCTGGAAGTCTTACCTGGAGGGGGATGGGATAATCTTCGGAATATGGACATGGGACGGGTGATGGAGTTGACTTACACTCGCTGCAGGACCACTGAGGACGGACAGTATATCATTCCCAACGAAGTCTTCACCATTCCCCAGAAGGAGAGCAACCTGGAGATGAACTCGGAAATCCTGGAGTCCTGGATGGATTACAAGAGCAGCACCTCCTTCTCTATTAACTTGGATATCTCCCTTTATTCCAAGATCAATGGCAAATTTTCTACGGAGTTTCAGAGGCTGAAGACTCTTCAAGTGAGGGACCAAGCTGTAACCACTCGAGTTCAAGTCAGAAACGTGATCTACACAGTCAAAATCAGCCCAGCCTCCGAGCTCACCTGGGAGTTTAAGAAAGAGCTCATGGACATCTCTGACCGTCTAGAGAACAACCAGACGAGGATGGCCACCTACCTGGCAGAACTCCTGGTCCTCAACTACGGCACCCACATCATCACCAGCGTGGACGCTGGGGCTGCTCTCATTCAGGAAGACCACATCCTGTCCTCTGCTCTCCAGGACAGCCAGAGCAGTCAAAAGAGTGTGACTATGTCTGCCGGAGCTGTCTTCTCACGCATTGTGAATGCCAAAGTAGACACTGGGTACTCCACTGAGGAAGCCTTGATCAAGGGCTACCTCTCCAACCGGACCAACTCCAGGGTGCTGAGCATGGGCGGAGTTCCCTTTCACCCAGGTATCACCCTTGAAACCTGGCAGAAAGGCATCAACAACCACCTGGTAGGAGTGGACCGGGCTGGCCTGCCCCTTCACTTCTTAATCAAGCCGGGCATGCTGCCCGAGCTGCCAAGGCCACTGGTGAAGCAGGTGTCCCAGACGGTGGAAGATGCTGTGCGTCGCTATTACGACTTCAATACCTACCCTGGGTGCACAGATGCCAGCTCCTCTAACTTCAATTTCCTGGCCAATACAGATGATGGCTCCTGCGGTGGGAAGACGAACAACATCTCCTTTGGCGGAGTTTATCAGAAATGCACCCAGCTCTCGGGCAGGGATCTTGCCCTCTGCCCAAAGTTGGAGCAGAAGAACCCGCTCACGGGGAACTTCTCCTGCCCCTCCGGCTTCACCCCAGTCCAGCTGCTCTCTCAGACCCACGAGCAGGGCTACAACCGCCTGGAGTGTAGGAAGAAGTGCACGCTCTACGTCTTTTGCAAGACAGTGTGTGAAGACGTATTCCAGGTGGCAAGGGCTGAATTTCAGGCATTTTGGTGCGCAGCCAGTGACCAAGAACCCAGACACTTGGGGCTTCTCTTTGGAGGTCTCTTCAGCAGTCGGAGTGTAAACCCTCTGACGAACCAACAGTCCTGCCCAGCTGCCTACACTACACTGAACCTCTTCGAGACCCTCAAGGTATGTGTTACTCAGGACTATGAGCTGGGGTACAAGTTTTCTGTTCCCTTTGGCGGGTTCTTCAGCTGTGCGGCTGGGAACCCCTTGGTAAATTCTTCCTTATCTGGAGACCTTCCGAAGAAGTGTCCCGGGGGCTTCAGCCAGCACTTGGCCCTCATCAGTGACGGATGCCAAGTGTCCTATTGCGTCAAGGCTGGGGCGTTTACCGGCTGGTCCCTGCCCCCTGCCAGGCTCCCACCTTTCACCCGGCCCCCCCTCATGAGCCAGGCTGCCACCAACACTGTCATCGTGACCAACAGTGAGAGTTCCAGCTCTTGGATTAGAGACTCCCGGACTCACCGCTGGAGGCTGGGCGAGCCGCAGGAGCTGCGCAGGACCATGAGGATCATCCTTGGGGAAAGCGGTGGCCTGTCTGGAGGGGCAGCAGTCGGGGTCTCAGTGGCCGTCACCTCCCTCTTGGCAGCTCTCATCGCTTTGGCTTTCTATGGCATCCGGAAGTACAAGAGTAAAGGCTACCAGGCAATTGATGGGGAACAGGAGAGTTTGTTAGCGGTTACTGCAACTAGAAACATCCCTGAGCAAGAGCCCAGGGAAAATCCAGCTTGAATCTCTACGTCCAGGTCAGAGCTCTCCTGGACACGAGGTTCCGTCACTTCTGACCACAGCTTCAAGCACATCTTCCATTCTTTCCCTCTCCACTTCTGTCTTCCATGTAAGGAAGTACCACGTGTCACAAACCAGGTATAACTTTACAACTTCTTGCGTAGATCCCAGGGCCACAAAACTACAGGAGCCCCGGGGACAAGGTAGGCAGTAGGGAGATGGAGGAACCGTGACTGGGGATGCACAGGCCACCCTGGGGACTAAAGCCGAAAGGGATGTCTTCTCCCAATGTCTGTCCTTAATTGTCTTCACTTGGTGGGTGTGGGGAAAGGAGGGAGGATGCACACCTTTGAATGGGAAATCACGCCTTGTCTGAAGTCTGCAGTAGCTTTTTATCTGTCAGTTGTAAAAATTTCTGCCTTTAAGTACCATCTGCCTTGTATTTTGTGCTTTTAAAAACTGTTTGTACTTTCTGCTTCTAGGCTTGCAAAAAGATACAGGAAGTCCTGTGTGGCCACTGTTTTTTGGCCTTGACAGCCCCATGCTGACCCCCTGGCTCAGTTTAGGGGAAGGATGTTCTCCAAGTCAACTCTACTCTTTCCAACTACCCCACAATTAGGACTTCCTGAGACCAGGCCACCGGAACTTCTGACTAGTGTCAGCAAGTCCTCAGAAAGTAACTTATAAGCTTCTGTTAGGTCAAGAGCAAAGGAATGGTTGGGAGAGGTGGAGCAAAAGTAACAAATGAAAGGCTCTGGCGCTTAGGAGAAACTGGAATTGTTAACCAGCTCGTTTCTTTTTCCCGACCTCATCAGGAGTCAGGCACCGAAGGGGCTGTACATTTGGATAGACCGACCATTCTGGTTTCGTGTTCTGTGTTACCACGAAGAATCATTTCCGCGTCCATGAGCAGCCCCTACCCTTTCTGTTTTCTGTCCCTTGTGTGGGTGTATGATAAGAACACACACACACACACACACACACACACACACACACACACACGTTCACATTTTCCCAAGAGCAAGAAAAGCGAGAAGTCAAAGTGAGCCCACATCTAGGTATTACTTCCTCCCTAAAACCAAAAAAAGCACCGGAAGCACCATGTGTGCTGTCTTTTTTCCCCTGGTAGAGAAATTCAGGTCTTTGAATGGAATGAGCCATCTGGAACCGCTGGCGACACCTGTGTGCCAGGCTGATGCCCGGGTGCGTCTAGCAGGATGCCCGGCCGTCAGCATTTGGGCTCTGCTTCTCTTCAACACCAGTTGTATCTAATTGTAATCACCTCCACACCATTTTTAAAAAGTATGTATTTATTTACCCGATCAAATGTCACCGGTGAGTTGCTGTCTAGGAAGGGTGGTTTGTCCTCTCCACTAAGGTTCACAGTCAAGGGCATGAGCTTGCTGGAGGCCCTTCTTCTGAAGGGGTTGACGTCTCCCAGCTTGTGGGGAGGCGGGACTAAGAGCATGTATTCATTTCCAACTGAGACACACGGCGTGAGTAACAGAATTTGAGACCCCTCTCGACTGCTCGGCCAAGGATGTTCATTTCTAGAACTTCTGTACTTACTCTGTCCCGTAAGTGTTCAACTGTTCTCCTCAACTTCTGGGCATTTTGTGGCTTCTGGGTATTTTGTGTGTTTCAGCCAATCTAATCACTTTTCTGCCACAGACTGACTGAATTCTTTAACGATTACTCAATCAAACAGAGTGACGCCCAAGGTTCCCAGACTTTTACTGCACTAGTTGCCCAAGGAAATTAAAAGTTTTTCACAAGTTTCTAGTTGTACTAATAAAACTTCACACAAATATGCATTAAGATATTCATTGAGGAATGTTTTGTCCTGCCGTTCACTGCTATGACAGAACGTGGGCGTCCGCAGCTCACATTCATTGAGGGACTTCAGGAAGTCAGGTCTTGGGGGCGGGACTCACAGGGCCTACTGAACTTTGCTTCCTCACTGATGTCCCGGGTTGGGGTCTGTGGAAAGACCAGTCCTGGCTTCCAAAGAAACCACATTACACGGACTCTCAGAGATGGAGCTCCTTAGGGTGACAGAGCCAGCTCAGCATTCGCATTTTACTTTGGGGTTCTCATGAATACTGGGATCATGCATGTGAACATTTATTTGCAAGATGACAGCCTGTAACTGTTTTTTAAAAATCCCTATATTGTAGACAAGTGAAGAGACCTTTAAGAGTCAATATTTGTGACGTGAGACGATCTCTCTCCTACAAGTTCACTCACCTATTTCTCCCACTGTGTGGTCTTCCAGGAACCCACACTGGCTCAAATGTGTGGGTAGAGAAGATGTGGAAATTTAAAAACAAATTTAGAGAAAAGGGATTTTCCCTTGAGCTGGTGGAAGGGCTTGTGGTTGCTTACGGACTCGAAGAAGAAATCCAGCTGCCGCTCAGGCACACGAATGAACCAAAAGCAGAAGGTCACCGAGACCCGCCTGTGGTTGCTCATTTGCCATTTATTGTTCTGCACATACACCCCATGAGCACCAGGTGGCGATGTCCTCTCACAGAGCAACACCAAGAATTTCAAATCACAGCAGTTACAAACAGAACAATTCAAGTGTGGGCATTCACCTGCCCTGCCCCAGCAGCCCCACTCCGATGTCGGTGACCACAGACAGGGCTCCTTCCTGCATCACACAGCCCCCCACCCCAGTCCTCTCATGCACACAGCAGGGCCATGCCGGGACAAGCACTCTGACCAAATATAAAACCACAGAGCCCAACTTTCCGGAGGGGAGGGAGGGGATGAAAACTCGAAGGCACACACAACCACACAGACGCCACGTGCTCTTTGGGGACGAGCATCTGACAAGGCTTGCGTCCACTCCCATTCGTCATCCCTGGAGACTGGGGGAGGGGCAACAAGGTCGCTGGTGTTGAGACCAGGGAAGGAAGAACCTGGGGTCCGCCGGGCGGCCCAGGGCAGTCCCCAGCGGGAGGCAGCCTGTATCCAGGCAGTGGCGCACAGCGCTCTGCTGGCCGGCTCCTCGCGGAACCCGAGGAAAGACTGCGCCTTTCCGGGTTGGCACAAGGGGAAGGGCAAGGGTCCTTGCCGGAAGGGAGATCCAAGATCCCTTCTGCCCAGGAAGCCCAGCGAAGGGAGCGGCAGGAGAACGGCATCCTCAGAGAGGACGAGACAGGAGGACAGGCACGCGGCAAAGGCCTCAGGGGAGGCCTGACGGCCTGGAGACTGCTCTCGGTGTGCTGCCAGCCACGCACCGACCCCTCCTGCATCCTCCTGGGTCCTCTCGCTTTTGCCCTTGGCAGTCTTGTCCCCACTTTCACCTTCTGCCTGATCAAGTCTCTACCCACTGCCCGATTCCAGTGGTCAAAGCATGTCTTCATTTCTTCCCTGCACTCTCCTGGTCACTGTGTCTCCCACACATAGGCCTCTGTCCATCTACGGTGAGGCTCTCCAGTGGTCTTGGTACAGGGTGACCCGGCAGTGGGCACAGAACCCGACATTAATCTCCTCAGGGAGGCTTCCTCCATTTAGTTCTTTTTTTTTGTTTTGTTTTTTTTCTGGTACCGGGAATCGAACTCACGACCATGCACTTGCCAGGCAGGCGCTGTGCCGCTGAGCTAAATCCCCAGCCCTTCCATTTAGTTCTGCTTCCCTCCAGAAAGGGGCAGAAACCTACTTCCAGGTACTGTGAACTAAAGACCACGTGTTGGTCTGCTGGTGAGACAAAATGGCCGCCCACTTACAGGAGACTGGGACCAAGATGGCAGGAGCATTCCTCTTATTAGAGTTCCCCCTGGTGGAGCCAGTTCATGTCCCTGGAGCCATTTTGAAAGCAAAAACTTAGCACCACCACGTCCTAAGGAACTGAATTAGGTAACACTCAGGCGAATCCACTGGCCACACCAACATCAAAATGGCTGAGGGTCTACAGCAAGCAGTGACAGAGCCGGCTCTCCCAAAGTGTGGCCTTAGTACTAACTTTAGTACCATTGTTGAAGGTTGTTTTGTTTCCATTTTTTCTAGTGTCAAAAACCTTCCAAATCTTATGAAATATATATGCATATATATACGTCAAACCCCCAAAACATGAGGTATATAAATTCAAATTAGTACCCAGAGGAACTTCCCCCAAACACATAGTTCAAAGAACCCACTTTCTCCTGGGCAGTGCTATCCTCAGAGATGCCCTGGGCAGCCAGTTCTGCCAGAGCACCCAGAGCTTTCAGGGGAATTGGGTTTCCCTTCTTGATCCCCTGCCTCCTCGCCTCCTGACCCCCAATCCATTCCTTAACGGGAGCCAAAGGTGAGAGGACATTGGGAGGAGACAGACAGGAACGTGGGACACAACCTAGATGCCAGGGAGCACAGACCACAGTGTGGCCCCAGCCCTGTTAGGAATGAGCCCAAGAGGCATCTGCCATGCTCTAGGTCAATCTGTAACTGATGAGGGGACGAGAGGCGCAGCACCGCCACCAAGGGCGTGCAGACAGACTGAAGCCCTCACAGAAACAAGTCTGGACAGAAGAAAGTGCTCAGCCCACCTTGAAAAACAACTAGAAAAGGCTCAGTCCAGCTCTCACCTCAGCGCGTCTCCCAAAGCACAGTTCTGTCTCCTTGAGGATCCCATTTTATTCTGGGATGGGCTGGCAAGTGGGAGGAGAGTCAAGGGACCACTCAGACTGCTCAGGGCCCACAGAACTGGGGTTCGGCACCGTGTGGAACACAGGTGAGGGACGTCATGGGTCTCTCCCCGCACCCGGCCCGGAAATGTGCACACACCCACACACACACATGCACGGACACAGGGGGTGCAGAGCCCAGCACGGGCTCCACTCACAGTGACTGGATGAAACCCACGGGCTCTGAGCTGGTCTGGGAGGCGTTGGGAAGAAGGCTACGGGCTCCTCTCCCTGAGGACAGTGCGGATGTTCGGTGGGACGCAGGCTCTGGTTTGACCAGAGGGGCTGGGAACAGCATCGCAGGATGTCACCCCAAAGAGGAGCCCCGGAGTCCACCCATCCACATGAGAGAGCCGGACGCCTCTTTGCACAGGTCCAAGAGTGACGAGGAGGGGAGAGGCCGGAGAAGCCGAGACTGCGACGATAGCTGCAGCACTCCGGGGGCCTTTGCTTCTCCGTCCCTCTTGGCCCCACAGTGCCTCCTCGCTCCGCACCAAGGCATCTGATCCCTGGTGCCGCAGCGGTCAGTGGTCCACCCCGTTGCCCTGCCCAGCCTTACACAGTGAGAGCTCTCTTCCTCCAGTGGAGGAGAGAAAAGGGGAAACTCCACTCTCCAAGCAGAGTGGAAGCAGCAAGAAGCCGGTTCAGGCAGGGAACTCGGCTTCACAAGGCCAGGGTATGGGGTGGCACACACCGTCCATTCCCCAAATGTGCTGACCGTGCCCCCTACCGGGAGCGGGAGGGGTGGGAGTTCTTGTCTACCAGCACCGAAAAGGCCATGGGAACAGAGCGTGGCCCTCATCCACGTCCCCTGTGTTGGATGAGGCTTACGAATGACATCGTCGATTCTATCTGCGCCCCGCCCCGCCCCCCGACCTCCGTGGCTGAGGGCCAGGGAATGGAGACAGGACACGAGAGGAGGGTGCTGCACCAACTTCCGCCTTGCCTCCCCTACCCTCTCCTGCCCTGCAGTCCCATCGTCCCCACCCCGACTTCAGAACCCCTCCAGCCTCAGTCTTTCTCCTGGGCAGTGCTATCCTCAGAGATGCCCTGGGCAGCCAGTTCTGCCAGCACGTTGTCCAGGTAATTGGCATCCGGGTAGCCGTGGCCAGTGAGATTAGAGCCGAACTCTGTCTTGTGGTGCACCTCGTTCCAGACGACCGTGTCAGACTCGCCCGTGGTGCTGGAGGTGCCGATGGCAAAGATGAGGCGCCGATCCCAGGCCACAAGCAGCAGCTTCAGGACCTGGAGGGCAAGGGAGGAGGCCAAAGCTATGCAGGGTTTCTCAGGGCATCCTGAAACACCCTGACCTATTCCAGGCTATTTCAGGTCTATTTGCTCTTCCAGTCCTCCCCACATTTCAGCTAGGGATACAGTAGGAGCTACTGTTGTCCCTATTTCACAGGTGAGGAAATAGGCCCAGGGGATGTATGGGGGACTTCAGAATGTGCCAGGTCATCAAAGCTGAACAAAATCTTGGTTGAGCAAGACTAATAGCTGATGTTCTGTTTAGTCTTGGTCAGAGCAGTGTCAAGCATGAAGAAGGTACCTGATAAAAATGTCACCCTCTCCAAATGGAACTACGGCAAATACAGTATGGGCTGGTGATTGGGGAATCCTAGTACTACTAAACTTTAACATATTAGCAACTATTTCCTGAGTGGTTCCTTATTAAGTGCCAGGCATTGAGTCCTACAGTGGTCATAATACACGGATGGGCCAGGTATTCTCATTATCCTCTTTTTGCAAATGAAGACACAGAAGCTCAGAAGACAAAAGACTTGCCCTGGTCTCACAATTGGTCCAGTGGTGGGCGTGGGGCAGGGAAGCAACTGACGTCAGGGCTGCCTGACTCCACAGCTGTGGTCTGCAACCCACTCAGATTGGAGTCAGCATAGCTTTCAAGGATGGGCTACTCCTGAGCTGAGGCTCAGGGGAGGATCTCAGATATCTCGGTGGAGAAGGACGAGTAGATACAGTCAATAAATATGAGCCCAAGGCAAGGATAATGACAGCAAGGGCTACAGCCATGCTGCATTTCACAAATGCTGCTTTTACTTCATTCCTACAAAGTCCTATCTACACAGACAGAAACAATCACCTCTTTGCAGATTCAGAAACAAGTCCTAAGGGTGTGATGCTTTGTTCCAGCTTCCACAGCTAACGAGTGGTAAAACTAGGCTTCGGACTCAGGCTTCTCGGGCTCCGAGGCCCAGGCCCTTATTTCCTGTCACTCTGCAGAGAAGCCCCGGGTCTGGGTCCCAGACTGACAGATGGGAAGGATGGGGTGGGGGTGAGCAGAGAGGAAGGCTTAGCCTCACACCACCACAGGTGATCTTATGGTAAGCTGAGCAGACTGGGAGAGAGAAGAAAAGAGGAAGCCACTGAAGCAACTTGGGTGATCTTAAATTTTACTTCTCTTAAACAAAGGAGTTTGGTGTTAGAGGCCGTGGCATTAGACACGGTGGTAGGCAAGAGATGGAGAGGCATTAACGAGGCTGGTGGCAGCAGGATCATCAAAAGGGGGAGGTGCTTTGGAAGGCAACGTGGGAAGAAGCCAAGAGGACACAGCGGGGAAGAACAACAGTGCAAGGCAGTGCACATGCCTGGTCTGGCCCTCGGGACGCTGGGTCACGGTCACAAAGAGGGCGGCCTGGAGGAAGGACAGCCCTGGCAACACACTCTTACAGAAGTCACCGAGCCAAGCAGAGCTGGGGCTCAGGCACAGAAATCTGGCTTGGCCCTGGCTTGGCCCTGGCTCCTAATCCAGGAACAATATATTGCATGTCTTCATCATGTGGTTGATTCTCTCATTGTTCCAAACTGTCTGCTTCCTCCTGGGAAGAGGAGGACATATCCAGGCCTGGGTGCCTCCCCTACAGGCATGTCATTATGCCATTCTGCAAGTTCATGACTCACAGGGCCACAGAAATGCACGTGGAAGGGGAAAGCTTCCGGGGGGCTAAACAGGATCACACACCTCCACAGGTCTCTCCAGGTCTTTGGCCCCCTTCCAATGGGAAGGGCCCGGACCACCAAGCGTGGCTCCACCAACCTGGGTTCCAGAATAGAAACCCATCCGAAGCAGCCTGAAGGCGGGTGTTTATGAGCCACCTCACCTTTGAGAGGTGATGTGGTTATTGAAATGAATCTCAATGGGTGGGATTAGCGCTTCCTAAGAGGGCTGAGGGACATCTTGCTCTCTCGCCATGGGAGGACGCCAAAAGAAGGGTTTGTCTACACACGGAAGCAGCCCTTGCCACACACCAAACTTCCTGGTGTCTCGACCTTGGGCTTCACCCATGGCATAACACAGTTCCAGTGACAGATGCGCAGTGGGCATGAGAAATGAACATCTGTTGAAGTAAGGTACTGAAATCTACAGAGGGTCTATGGCCATGCCACCGTGAAGGCACCTGATGTCAACTAAAATCTACAAAGAAAGCCGATGAACACACACCTCTAGTCTAGTATTTCCCCCAGCACTCCCCATAGACCAAGGGTTCTTTTTCATTCCTGAGGGCAAGAAAAATTCTTTTTGGCCTCATCCAGAAAGGGAAAAAAAAATTTAAAAAATAAGGTTTTTATTCTAACCAGAGTCCACAGGACCATAGAAGTCTGGTCATGAATTAGTAGGGACCCAGGAACCAGACCCTTAGTCCTTCTGCTCTTTTTGGGAAATGTCCAAGAGTACAAAAGTAATCAAGATAAGAGGGTCCTAGCTGGGTGTTGAGAGCACCTGCCCTTCATCCCAGCACTCTGATGGGCTGAGGCAGAAGGACTGAAAGTTCAAGCCCAAGTTTGGCAAGTAAGCAAACTTGGGGAGACCTTATCTCAAAAAATAAAAAGGGCTGGGGCTATAGCTCGGTACAAAGGCCCCAGGTCCAATCCCCAATAGGAAAATAAATAAAATACAGAGTAGAATAATCCCTCACCAATTAAGATCCTCGCCCCAGAGTAGCCCTTCTCTCACTTTCACGTGTGGTCAGATCAGCGGGGATCTCGTTAGGAGGAAGCACATCCTGTATTTCCTTCAGGCTCCCAGGTGTCACCATGGGTAGGGTCCCCAGCACCTGCCTTTAGCAGGCTGTAGACAAAGGGTCCACAGAGAGACAATCATTGCTAGTAATGTACTAGTGAGGAGAAAGGAAAATTTCTACTGGCACCATCTGCAAAAGAAACCCCATTCTAATCGCACCCATCTTCCCCTGTGGTTGACTCAGACGTGACCTCACTGCTGTGGGCATCTAGACTAAGAAAGACCCAGGTGCCTTGGATCGGCAGGAAGCAGCACTTCAGGCTCTCCCTTGCAACCAAGTGCCCCCGCCGTGCTCTGGAACACCTGCTCTTACTTTTCTCCCCTTCTCGCTGTCCGGAAGGTAACAGTGTCGCGGGAAGCCTCGGGCGCTGAAACTCTTCCCAGGATTTGGGTGTTCTGGGCCCTGAAAGCAGAAAGAAAGAAAACACAGGGTGTTTTTCAAAATCTCTGACGAATGGGAGTTCAAGCATGCTGACAGTAATAAAGCCACAGAGGCTAAAGCAGTGTGAGTAGCTGTTTCACAAACATGTGTGGCATTCTTAGGCCTGGGTTGGACCACACAGCTAGCTCCTGGCTGGTTTGGCTGGAGCCCTTCTTGAGTGTTGAGGGAATGAGGAGGGGACAGGCATGACAGGGGCCTGGTGTGTGGCCCAGTACAGGGTCGTGTCCCTGGTATCGTCATCCCCTACTGCTGTACAGATGAGGAAAACTGCATGCTGGAGAAATTCAAAGGCTTCTGTGATTTAGCAGCTTTGCTAGAACTTCAGGGCGGGTTTCCCAAGGTGTACTCTGGACATTTTAAACTGCACAGATAACAAAGTGCCTCTGAGCTGGGGCCTGGGCAGTCAGGATTTTCTGAAGGATTCTTGTGGATTTCCTCTTTGTCTTCAGGAGTTTGGGGCTGTTTTCCTGCTCAGTGACATTGATGAGGATATTCAGGACTAAAAATCTTCTACTAATATTCCAGCTTGTGTCACCCCGTGGCTTAAAAGGCAATCTCAGGCCGCTGGTGGGAAAGAAACTGAAGCAGAATTGAGTCAGAACCCAGGTGCTGTTGTGGCGGATACAGTGATTTGTGTCCTGCGAAACTCAGGCAGAGTCTGACTGCATTGCAGCGGTGTTGGCCCCCGGGCTTTAAGAATCGGTCAGACTATTAGGAGACTGATGCTCTCTTAATAGCTGTACCACGTCTCTCCTACGAGACTCTATACATTAAGGCAAAGCTACATCACTGCAAAGAAGGCTGTTCTTTGTGCTTTCTCTCTTCTGCACACATTTTCTTTTTTCACATGAGCTGAAGCAGCACAAGGCCCTGTGAGACGGTTAACTGTGGGGCCAAGCTACATAAGAAACACCTCGCCAATGGGTTTAGCGCAGTTTTGGGCATGGATGATGGACACAGTGCGGATGGAAGCCCCACCCTGAGTGTGGGCGGCACCAACCAGCAGTCAGAATAAGAAGGGAAAGGAGGAGGAAGCCTCCCTTCCGCTTCTTCAGAGGTGCTGCTGTTGTTGCCATCGCTTCAGATGCCCATCTCCAGGCTTCCACGCAGGCCCTTTGGCTTCCCAATACGGACGCTCATGGGACCCTGCAGGAAGCTCCAGGCCTGTGACTTCTGACTGAATTCTCCGGCCGACCAGACGCAAACGGCTCTCTCGCACCTTCCACACCTGACTCTGCAGGTGGCCATCGTAAGCCTACCTTGTGATGCCTTATGTATCATATGGGAAGGGTTTCACACGTATGTTATGTTAAATCTGTTCCTCGGGTGAACTCTGCCTACACACCCTGACTGGATGTTCCTGCTGACCTCTGACTTCCTCGCCCCTGGAACCACGCGCCACATGAACCTCTATGCTTTATAAATCACTCCATCTCAGCTTTTCTTTTACAGTAACAGGGAACAGACCAAGACCCCTGGCTTCCCACGGGTCCACTGGTTCTTCTGAGAAGTTCACGAGAGGCAACCGACTCTCACTAACAATAAATGCCCTTACTCTGCACACACACTTGTCTAGAATCTCTGACCCCTCAACGATGGAACCCTGCTTTAAAAGGCACTTGTAGATACAACTGAGGTAGTATTTATAACTCCATGCCGTTGCTGGCATGAACTCTCCTACAGATGACTAATAAATGCATCCAGCCTGCATAAATGAATGAGCAACAAAACCATAAGAAAATATGGAGTTTTTTTGTTTTGCTTTGTTTTCACGGCACTTGGGTTTGAACAATGGCCCTCATACTAAGCTACATCTCCAACCCTTTTTATTTAGTCTATTTTGAGACAGAGTTTTGCTAAGTTGCTAAGTTAGGAGGTTTCCGCCTCCCAGAATGCTGGGTTTATGGGCATGTGCCACCACACCCAGCTTTGAGTTTTCATTTTCACTTATTATGCACCATGATTTGAAAAGGAAGAAAAATAATCTGGTTTTTATATTTATTGTTGGAAGCAGCTCGGCGGCAGGTCACTTAGCATTCGGCCACGCGCATGGCTGGGTCCGTGCTGTGGGTTTACAGGGTCCGGCAGCCATACGTACAGCTCATAGGCAGTCGCCACAGGTACACGGTGTCCACAGGGCCACACCGTCGCCTGCCAGGCTGCCTGACTGCAGGTCTGATGGCTGTGCTCCTTCTGCCCGAGGCTGTGCAGTGAGTCTACTCAGGGCGGCCGGGCACTGACCCAGCTGGGCTGCGCCTTCTGGGCCCGACGCCAAGTACAGCAGTCACGACTCTGCTGGAGCATCTCTGGGAGAGGCTCTCCGCGGTGAGGGTGGCACTCAGTCTCAACTCCATTGCTGAAGGTGCCAGAGCTCTCTGAGGCAGCAGGCAGCCACCTCGATGCCCCCGGGGGCCTCTCTGCTCTGAGCTCTGGAAGTGAGAAGCCCCGCCCACCCGACGCCCGCCTAGATCCCGGTGCACGCTGAGGCTGCCGCGGTCCGTCCTGACCCCCACACTGGTGTTTGTGTTCCTCTCACCCCACTGCTGCCTCCAGGTCCCTGCACAGGCCTCTGCTGACCAGCACCGACCTCCCTTTCTCTCCTGCCCCGGCGTGTCCCTGTTCAAGCCCCGTTACTGGAACGCGGACTGTGGCAGGGGTCTCCGAGCAATCTCTCTTCAGGTCATCCCGTGTTTTACACCAGCCTGGCTTCCTAAAGCGCAACCCCAACCCCAGCCCCGACAGCTCCACCACCCTAATCCCACACCCAGGGGCCTTCAGGCTCACACCCTGCTGCCTGGTGAGTCAAGTCCACATCCCAGCTTGGTCCCCAAGGCCTTTTACGTCCGGGCCTCCACTTCCCTCGCTGCTAATCATCCCCAACTCTGCCACCTTGGAAGGCTTAGACTCCAAATTAAACTCTTCCATATGTCCTTCCACACCCCCACTCAGTCTCCTCTCCAGCTAAAAATATTCTCCTCCGTTTCCTCACCTCTTTCACGGTCTGCTAGGGAGGGCCTGTCCCAGAAAGCCTCTGCCCTTCCAGACAGACAGGCAGGCCCTTCTCTTACCAGGACAAGGAGGTGCTGAACAGTGATGGTGACCAGGAGCTCAGGGCCTTGGTCCTGTGCCCAGTGCCCCGCCCGGGATCCACACACGTTACTTCCTGCCTCACAGCGCCTCTGCCTACCAGGCTCCTTCCCAGCTGCAGAGAAGAAACCAAGCTTGGAAAGAGCAGGCAGCTCTCCAACACCACCAGCTCCCGGCTGAGCTGGGGACCGGAGCTCGGGTTGGGCAGACTTTGAGGCCTTGTGCCTCGCCTGTGTCTAAGTGCCTCTTATACTCGGTCAGTGGCACACATCTGCTTTTACTCTCTAGATTAAATGCTCCTGTATATTTACCCTTCCCCGCCCGGCGGGTAAATCCCAGAGATGGAAGCACATTCCATTCCGTCCTTTTACAGGCTTTTATGCCTTTCTGTTCTATTTCGTCATCACTTATGACTACTCCAGAGTTTCTTGTTCATTTATCTGTCTACTTTAACGTTCCCAGTTCAGCTACCATGGGAACTTCAGGGAGCTTCTTTGGTACCTAGAACATGGCTAAACCGTAATGTACTCTCAGAGTTGTTGTAAAAAATGAAGACAAACTCACTGAGGGAGAAATTAGGGAAAGCACGCCTTTCACAACAGCAGAGAAAAAATGAAGTACTTAAAAAAGAAGACAAACAGGCGGGGGTAACAAGGGTGAGGTAATAAATATCTGCTGAAGCTTCACTGTGGGAAGGAAGGGTCCATTTGTATTTACTGTCAGGAATGCTGTTCAGACTTGTCCTTTAGGGCTGTCTTTCAAAGAGCCAAAGAGGAAAGAAATGCCTACCAAAATCAAAGCCAAGTGTAGCTATCAAATTAGAAATGCAAATAACTGTCCAACAATGAAATTCCACTCCGAGAGGATTATTCGACAGATATTCTCACATATGTGCAAGGTTATTCATTACAGCATTATTTGTTGTAGAAAAGGACTGGAAACAATCCATACGCCCATCACAGGGAAGCTGCTGAATGAAATTATTCATACAATGGATTATTACACAGACAGAGGAAGGAACGAGGAAGCTCTCTCTAGACTGCCCTGGAAAACTCTACAGGCTACATTGTTCACGGGAAAACGCAGGGTGTGAAACACAGTGCCGAAATGTCACTGTGTATAAACGGGAGGGGTGGAGTCGACCTCTGCCTTGGGGGCACAAAGGGTCCCAAAGGATTCCTAAGAAAGTGAGAACAATGGTGGTGGAAGGAGGGTGTGTGTGGGGAGCCCCACAGAAGGCGGACAGCGTGGGAAGGAGGCTTCCGCGGAGGGCGTTTTAAACACTGGGACGTCTGGACGCACCTGAATCCCAGGGGGGATGCTGTAGATGATCCGGATGGTTTTGCAGTCGGGGTGGCCGGGCAGGGAGTGGGGGATGAGGTGGTACTCCATCTTCCCCGGCGGCTGGGTCCCTGTCTTCACCCCATAGATGGTCTTACACGTTGGACACTGCAGACTCCCGTCCTGAGAGAGCCAGAGCGGGAAGCAGTTTTGGTAACGATCTCCCCACCGACTCCAGGTGGTAGCAGAGATCGAGGACCCGGCGGCGGCAGCGGCGGCGGAGGCGGCGGCGGTGGCGGTGGTGGGGAAATGCACTCCCCCGAATACCAGGCCTGAAACCCTGCCTGACTACCCTCAAAGGAACAGGCAAGAGTCCAGAAAGAGCCCTGGGCTCCGTGCTAAGGGACGTAAAAGAGATATCCCTCTGCGTGAGGGGGACCAGCTAACCAGCACAGCGACCTACACGGGGAGCCACTATTTGACCACTAGTCCCCGTGGGCGGAGCAGACGGCGAGCGTTCAAGAGCAGCAACTGCCACGCTGAGGAGCGTCACTCGCCCAGGGGGCCTTTAAAGTAAAGACATCTGGACCCCACAGGAAGACCCACCACGAGAGCAGGAGGCTGCGAAGTGCCGCGGCTTCACTCTAAAATCACACAGCCCAAGTTCAAGTCTCAGCTCTCCCACCTACCTGCTCTGCGACCTCGGGCAAATTAATTAACCTCTCTGAGACTCAGTTTCCAATGTAAAACAAGAAAATTAATAATATCTGTCTTGCTCCTTTGCTGGAGAATTAAATGAGGCGATCCTCGGGGAGGGCTTAGCACGAAGCATCTCTAAACATGATCAGTGTGCGTGGTCTCCCTGCAGCCCAGTGCCCACTCAGGTCTAGAAACCGGCCCAGGAGAAGGTAAACTGGGCATCGTGCCGCGGCACCTGAAGGTGACTTTTAAAATGGTCGTAACTTGGGTCAGAAGGACACAGGATAACTGCCGCGTAAATAACTAAAGGAGGGGACAACGTCGCCACTTACGTGATTGCAAACTGTACAGCATGCAGCCTTGCTTTTTGAGAGTAGTTAGGAAGGAGTCATGAGTCTAATTTATTTCCTGCAGGTTTGCGATACTGAGGACTGCGTCGGAGCCTTCACACAGGGGTTACAATCCCAGCTGATTTTTGATTTTAATTTAATTGTATTTTCAGACAGGCTCTCCCTAAGTCGCTAGGTTGCCTAGTCTGGGTTTAAACTTTCAATCCTCCCACCTCAGGTTCTGAGTGCTGGGATAACCGCTGTGGGTCACCATGCCCACTTTTTAAAGGAGGCAATCGAGGCGCCTGAGATTGCAGGGTTTGCTGCTGCTCTCTGGGGCTGGACCTTCAGGGGCACCGATGGCTCTCGATAGGGTGACACAAAGGGCTAGTGAGGTGTCGCTGGGGGGGTGGGACAGAGCCTTCGGGAGGCTGGGATATGGAACTCCCTGCTCACCATAGAGAGGGGCACAGGGCCGGGAGCCTGGCACGGGGGCAGCGGCGATGTGTGCAGAGCTGCCCGTGCACAGCTGGGACCTGCGCTCCCAGGGAGCCGCAGCTCTCTGGGAAGACAGATCCTCTGCTGAGCTATCCGGGGACATCTCCAGCCAAGTCGGCTCATTTAGAGGCACTGCTCACATTCGCAGTACCTACTCCCTGAAGCCAGTGCCCTAACTGGCTCATGACCTGGGGTAAATCACTCCCTTCCCTCGGGCCCTTTCCTCCAATGCGTCTGATAAACCAAAAGCCACATTTCAGAGTATTCATGCAAAGGAGGACGAAGGCTAGTGCCTTGAGAGACATTTTTGAAGCATTACACAGGCAAGTTCAAAGCCTTCCTAAGCATTCTTGAATACAGTCACCCAAAAGGTAATGAAGTGCTATGAAAACTCAAATCAAACATGCAAAAGCTTAAAGCACAAGGTTGTGAAGAAACCTTTTGTGGGCGTCAGGACAGGGAGCTCTGGGTCCAGCGCATCCTCCGCCAACAGCTGCAGATGGCTGGGGCCTGATCTCGGGACACGGAGACAGTCCCCGAGGGTGGCACTCTGGGACCTGAACCCGTAGGGTAGGCAAAGATGAAGCGAAAATTTCGGCAGCAGCACAAGCCAGTACCATTTGCAGTAGTGATAACAGCCTAGAAAGTATTGTTTTGTCTTTATTTTCCAGGTGGAAAATGAAATCTCAGCGAGGCTGAAAATTTTGCCCAAGGTCATTCAGCTTCTAAGCCAGGATCCAAGTTCAGATCGGCTTCTCTCTTGCCTCTGCGTCTGCCCACAGGAGGTTCACAGAGCAGCCTCTGAAACTCAGAGGGTTTGGATGAGAAGAACGCCGGGAGCTATCAGGGAAATGTCAGACTCAGAGGCAAGGAAGAGGACACATGAACAGAACTGGAGCGAAGAAAAGAACGTGAGCCAGTGACTTAGAAAAGCTCAGATGAAGAATGGGGGCCACTATCACCCACAGGAGGCCCAGGGCCCTGGAAACCAGGGGTCCCTACTGTCTGTCAGTGAGAGGGCAGCACCGCTCACAGCCTCCCCGTCCTCCAACAGTGGGGTCTTCGGGCAGCGACCACCAGGGGGCCTTGAGAGTGATCTCCAGTTCCCTTGAAGGGACAGTCAGGGAGCTTTGACGTTGTCCAGACAACTTAGCTACCATTTAAACTTACCAGGGAAAAGGTGACTGGGAACACCTTCGCCCAGGCATGAATGAACAAGCACTGAGCAAAGATCCCCTTAGCCGTCACCGATGGGGTCCACTTCACCCGGCAATGGGCCATTTCCCTCCAAACACCCCGGGCAAAACCCACCCCTCAGACTACTCCAGCCAAGGCTGGGACTCGGGGAGCCCACAGGAAAGTGAGGACAGGCTTGGAGAACGCTGCAATTTGGGGGAGAATCCCTCCTGCTGAGAACAGTCACGATGGTCACTCTGCTACCATGGGGTCCTCTAAAACTGCACAAACCTCCTGGGGGAAGAGAAGGGTGCTTCCTGCTCTTGGTCCTCTGCAGCCCCACGCAGAACGGCTGCGGCCTGAAGCCGGGCACTAACCTTGTTCCCGTTGTTGTACATGGCGACCAGGCAGTAGATGTGGTAGACGTGGCCACACCGGGACAGCTTGCCCACCACGTCCGGCTTGACCGTCGGCTGTGGGCCCTTGTAGCCCGAGGGCGCTGTGAGGCGCTCCATACAGATGGTACAATCCTGCAGGATAGGGACAGAGCGAGAGATGTCGGCTGCCACCCACCCCGCACGGTCCTGGGGTCAGGGGAACTGCTTTGGGGCCTCTTCTAGAAAACTTAGGAATCCACAGCAAGGGGTTGGTTTTAGGAATTGAAATATTGTTTTCCTTGCTTTGCAAAGCAGAGAAATTCCCCACATAATTCCTGCTGATGGACATGTTAACTTGGGCTTGCTAAGTATGTCACAGTCTCCTTGGGGATGCACGGTCCCTCCTTGGTGGGGCGCTACGTCAAGCTCTGCTTAAACCGAACTGCAAGGGAATTGTATTTGAACCGAGAGATGGAGGAAGCAGGCAGAGGAAGAGACTTAGGCAGGAGAAATGAAGATGTGTGAGATGCCTGTACCAAGTCCCCAAGATGAACTAGGTAATGCAGATGTGCTAATAAAAATTTTAAAAATTAAAATATTTTTAAAAAGGATTTTAAATGTAGCAGAGAGGCTGTCATTTAAATAAATCTACAACAGTAGATTTGTCAACTTTAGCACTGCCTTTTTAATTTTTTATTTTGACTTTTTGAGACAGGGTCTCACTATGCAGTTCAGGCTGGCCTTGAGCTCACTTTGTAGCCAAGGCTGATCTTGAACTCACGGCGATCCTCCTGCCTCAGCCTCCCAAGTGCTGGGATTATAGGCGTGTGCCACCACGCCTGGCCAGCACTGCTTTTTTAGAAAGCTGTCATCATTCATGCTCTGCACTGCCTCGCTGTGGCCCATGCCGAGGAGCCTCTTCCGGGAGCATCCTGCTTGCCCATTGTCACAATGCAAGGGTCTCTGTGCCAGATGCTGCCCCAGGCAGAAATGCCTCCAGCAGAGACCCTCCGACTCCCACCAAATCCATTTTAAAGTCAGTGGGCACAGCGCAGTTTATTGTTTTCCTTAAACTCAGATCGTCACAGACCGGAGCTGAGAATCAACCCGCGTTCTGCTTCGCGGGGACAGGTTCCGTCACAGCTGCAGCTCTCGACCGTGAACCTCGGAGCCCCGGAGTCAGCCTGACCAGCTCTGCAGCAGCCCGCAGAGCCCTGGGGCAGAGGCGACGTCCGCAGGTGACAAGAGGCAAGTCCCGCACTTACCTCCTCGGGCGGGTGCCGGACCTTCTGCAGGTATTTCTTCAGCACTTCCTCCGGGGTTTTGCCTGTGGAGACAGAGGGATCATAGGTCACCAACAGGCGGCAAGAGGTCCGCCAGCCTTCCCAGCTCAGGCCTGCTGGAGGGAGAGTGAGAGCCAAGTTCTAGGCAGAAGATGGGACCGGCTCAATCTGCAAGGCGACTGAGGAGTGTGAGAGAGAGTTCAGGTGGCGGAAGGGCAACGGGGTAAACTAAGGAAGGGCACCATGTCGGCCTTCCCCACCTGGAGCCACTTCCCTGACACGCTTCTGCTTATTTCCAGCTAATCCACGTTTTAGTGAAATAAGGGGAGTGAGTTTCTTTTCTTTATAATCAAACAGCTGAAGTAGCAGAAATGAAAGCAGTCTATGCCAGGACACGTTCAGCAAACATCAGTATTTCTACAGGGAACCAGGAAGCTGTGACCCACAGCTCCGACACAGCCAAGGCAGCCCAGCAGCAGGGAGGGCGGAGGGGGCGTCCTGACAGCGGCAGTGATCTGGGGGCTCCCCCGGGAGCTGGACCCTTAGGAAGTACCAGCCTGTAGGCAGAGGGCAGCATGATGCGGGCCTACGTGGAGCCACAGCTGGTAAGGGCAGGGCCACCCTGGGGCATTCTTTTAACTGCGCTGAGCTTGTTTTCTCACCTATAAAACGTGGAAGATGGATCGCACGCGCCTCAAAGTGGTGCTTCCACAACTCACAGGCTAATGGCAGCACAGCCCCCAGCACTTTGCCAGATAAGGGTGCCGTCCTGCCATTAATAATAACAGGAAGAGCGGGAAAGCGTGAAACCCCATCCCTTCCCATCGGGCTCGGAGCAGGGCAATTCACTTAAGCAGGGAAATTTTAATGGACTAGAAAAGTAGGACAGGGGTTTGAGGAAGTGGATCATGTGATAGGCAGAAGCTGAACTGCAATCCCCTGCTTATCTTATAAGAATCAAGCTTCCGTGACCTGAACCTCTGACTTGCCCTGCCTCGGGCTAAGGCAGTGTGGAGATGACCAGATGCACACCTCACAAGGCCTGCGAGGGAGATGAACGTCATTTGCCAAACGGAAAGACCTGCTGCGGAGCTGAGCTATTGGCCCCTGACGCTGAGTACCAGTACTGACCCTTTGGTCGCTGGACTGAGCAACAGGAAGGGGTTCCTGAAGAAGGGTTCACGTGGCCAGGAGACCCAGAGGGGCCAGAGGGACACAGACAGTGGCTACTTCCCAACTGTGAGGACACATTCCGGGGCTTACGTGGTGTGATCAAAATACACTGTGAATATTAAAATTGCTTTTTAAAAAAAACTATTATAGTCAAAGACATCATCCTTAATCCCTGTCAGCTAGACTCCCTTGCTTCGAGCACACAGTTCTTGCCACTTTTTGAAACAGTTCCGGGAGTCCTCTTTGCTGAGTGTGTTTATGAGATGTGATCAAAAGCATGGTAAACGTGGCTGTCATGTGCCATCCACTGGAGAGGCTGAGAAATGCCACAGTGGGCCCCCGTTTACTTACTCATGAGGCCTGGCACCGTGCAGCTTCTGTCTCTTCTCTACAGTCAAAACGACCACGAAAGGGAAACATTCTAGATTGATTCGGGACAGAGGCAGCCAGGTCAGTGCAGATAAAGACACTCACGGAGAAGGACCCCTAGCATTGCTTTAGAAAGAAGCAGGAAGGATGGGATAAGTATGTCCAAAGCAAGGGGGCATATTTTGAGCGGGATGCATGGCAATGTATCTCTCACTGCAACGCATCTTATATTCACTTAAACATCCACAGTAGTTTGCGATCACGCCTTGTTCCTGCTAAGTACCGGTAGCGGACATTGTACCCCTCTCTGACCGAAGACAGAGGCTCTACGCGGCCACCCAAGCAGCAGGTGACCAAGTTAGGATATGAACCCAATCTGATGCCAAAGTCACCTTTCTCTTCTCATATGGGTGTTTGATGCCATACTTAGTATTTTTATTCTCTGGATTTTTGCATTGTGCGTTTACATCTCTGACGGTGCTTCTGTCTGACCCACATGCAATTCCCCATGGTTTAATCATCAGAATCTACTCTCAAGACCTCGTGAGAAGGCACAGGATGAGGGCTGACTCTCGGCTGCGAGCCACGTCTTTGGCTCCGGGTCCTGTCAGAGAAAGAGGCCGGTACCTTTCTTGGCTTGCTTTTTGGTGGTCTTGCGGCTCGTGTTGGAGACCCCCGGGATGGACTTTATCTCGCTCTTGCTGACGGGGGGTGGGTGCAGGACGAGCTTGGGCGGTCGGGTGAGGCACACGGGCAGCCCCGCGGCGCTCATCAGGATCCCGGTGATTCCTGGCAGGGCAGTGCAGGGGTGAGGCGGGGCTGAAGACCGGGCCCCTGTACCCCCACATTCCTCCCTCCTGGCCACCGCCCGTCCTTCCCAGCACGAGTTCTCATACTCTGGGACTCCGTTTGCTCTCTTCTGTGGCATTCCAAGTCTCCCTCAGGCTTCCCGCCCTTCCCATACCATTCCTTCACTCTCCCCTTGCTGCGGTGGATGTCTAGGCCCCTGCCTTTCACAAAGGCTCAGGACTTGTTCCATACCCTGGCTTTTCTCTTTCAGCAAGTGCAGCCTAGTGCAGCCCTTACCTGCCAAGGCGGGATTCACAGGACTCGACCCGTTTAAATTCTTCACTGGGACGGTGGGGACCCTGCGGAGGGAACAGCAGACGCGTTATGGTTCTGCTAGTGGGACGGAGCGGGTCAGCGTTTACACGGAGTTCTTCACACAGCAGGTGGAAGCAACAGGTTCACGACAGGAGTCAGGCCCCATCGTCCTGCAGGAAGAGCTGCAGCGCTCAAGCGGGCTCCGTTCACTTGGGCTCAAAGTCAAGGTCCTAACGGCCGCCAACAAGGCCCTCAATCCCTTAGCTCCCAGTCCCTCTCTCAGCGGCCTCCTAATCCCGCCCTCTGTCCCTCCCGCCTGAGGACCTTTCCATAGGCTGGTCCCCGTGGCCACAGTGCTTTCTTGAAAGTAACTGCTCAGCCCCCGGCTCGGATCTGACCTCCTCTGTGAAGTCCCTCCAACCGCTATCTGAGCCTGCTACCCCTCCGTCCCACCCTGGGATTCCCACACCTTCTTACAGGCTGTACTCTCTTTTTTAGTGGAATTTATGATCTTTTAAAATAAGTCCTGGCTTCTTATCTCCCTTCTGGGATGTCAGCTCCTCCAGGGCAAATATCTGTGGCACTCGGTGGGATTCAATCAAGAATCACGGAAACAAGGAGAAGATGAAGAACCGAGTTCCGACCCGAGTGTACAAAACAGCTCCTCAGGGTGGACGCGAGCCTGCATCTTCCCCGCAGCTCCTAGAGCAGCAGATGTTGCCAGCTGCAGTCCGGAGCGTGGAAACTGGGGCTCCTCCTGGGCCTCAGGCATGGCTTCCTCCTTTCCCTGTCCTCCCTGGCAACACGGGCCAGGCGGAGAGCAGACCCAGCTGTCTGGAAAAGGCCAGGCCGCCCACAGAGCCGACTGGGAATCTGCGGGACACGGGGACATGCGGTGGGGCCCGCGGTGCCCCGCTGCCCCAGGCTCCCACAGCTGGCGGGAGAGGCACTGGAGCTGCACAGAGGCCTCCAGGAACGGCCAGCTCATCTGCTGTGGGGTGGGTGGTGCTGGGAAATCGGACGGAGAGAGGGAAGACTTGGAAAGTACTCACTGAGCCCTAGTCTGTGCTGGACACAGAGCTCCATGCTAGGATGCAGCCGTGAGTGTGACACCCCGCGGCCCTTCACCCCTGGTTAGGATCCCGCACGTGCCAGAGCTCGCCTCCCACCAGCAGTGCTCCAGCTGCTTGCAACGCCTACCCTGCTACAGCCTAGCAAGAGGCATCATGACCACCCCATTCCATAGGCACAGAAGATGAGACCAAGATCACACTGTTAAAGACCAAGGCAGAGTACTACTCTGCCATAAAAAAGAATACAGTAGAGTCTTTCATGCCAAAGTGGATGCACCTTGAGACCATAATGTTAAGTGAAATAAATCAGACACCAAAGCTTAAATACCACAGGCTTTCCCATACGAGACACCCACAGTATAAATAAAGAGCAAAATAAAAGACAGATGCTAGGAAGGGGCAGGGGGTGGACGGTGGAGAAGGGAGGGGTGTGGGGAGGGCGGAAGGGAAGGGAGAGTGAAGTAGTTGAGATGCGCCGTGCTGTGCACCCACAACTCTCCAAGAGGAACGCAATTCGTACGGATCACAAACATATACCGATGAAAACACGGACTCCACAGAATCTGGCCAGAAGCCTGCCACCGAGCCGAGCTCCTAGGTTACCCTCTCCGCCCGGGCACAGGCAGAGTGCGAAGGGGAGTGGAGTGAGTTCCAGCAGCGGGGAGAGCTGGGTGGGGCCTGGGGTGGGCAGCAGGGCGACCTGTGGCCCACGTGCCCTCAGGGTCTGCAGGGGCTCCCTCAGGGGAAGGCTCTCAGACCGGGGCTGGGAGAAGCGTGGCAGAAGGTTCATGTCTGCGCCAGGCCGCCCAGTGTCCTTCCATCCTGAGCTCTCCACGGGTAAATCAGACTGCACACGGGGAGGGCAAGCTGGGTTTGCACCCAGATGGGCCGAGAATGACCTGGATCTGGACTCTAACGCCTGTGCGCAGCGCCAGAAATGGTTCGGGAGAGGAGCAGCAGGAAAAGCAGGTTCGACTCCCAGCCCCACCAGCAGCTCCTCTCGACGCCAGTTTAACTTTCTGAGCCCCAGTGAAAACGGAGTCGTGGGCTAGGAGACGCCTTCCAACAGCTTCCCACCCCAGCTTCCGAGAAGGCGGTGGCTGCTCGCCCTGGGCTGTCTCCTCCACCCGCTACCCCCAGACTCCTCCTATGGGCTCCCGGACGGGCCGGGGCACCTGCTCCTCTCCCCAGCTCCAGCTGATAAGGCTGCTGGGTGAGGAAAGCCGCCTTTGTTCGCACAAACTGGAGGAGCAGGTTTCCACGGCCAATCCGATCAGCTGCTGCTCCAGAGCAACCCAGAACTGCTGGAGTTGGAGGGGAAGAGGGGGCCTCAGCGGGCCAACAGGTGACACCGGCACCATCGCGGGGCTCTGAGGGAAGCAGGCTGGGTATTTGCTCGTGGGGCACAGCGGGTACACAGGAAGGAGCCTGGGCGGGGGCCGGGGGTCTCCATCTCCACGCAGCTCAGCCTGACCTGCGCTCACCCAGGAGAGCCGCCAGCACCTCTGCACTCTCCCCACTGTGTCTGGGGTCCCTGTGACGGCCGATCTAGGTCAAGTTGGCTGTAGCACAGCCTGGGTGTTTCCACCCCGTCGGAGGCTACACTGGGCGTAATCCTGCCACTCCGGGTTAGGGTCCCAGGTCTCCCACCTTCCTGAGGACAGGTGTCAGGTAGCAGGCACAGAGGACTCGGGTGTCCTCCAGCCAGCAGCACCTGAGCCCCTCCCCCAAGGCCCCTGGTTAAAGGGAACCCGAGTCACCCTCTGCCTGCCCTGGGGGCCCACTGTGCCCGCCCAGTGAGAGGGAGGCGCCTCTCCTCCTCCAGGCAACGGGGCTCCGGCACAGCCCCCCCATCCCTCGGGCTGCCCCCAGCAGTGGAGGGTCCACATTTCCTTTCTGTTGATAAAACATAAAACTAAGCACAGAAGAGCTGGCAGGATGGCCGGACAGGGAGAGGGAGGTTGCTGGGGGACCTCTGCAGACACCGCAGGGACAGGCAGCTTTTCGGAGTTACGTGCCAACCTGGGACCCTGGGCAGGACAATGGCCCCATCTCTATGGCAACCAGCCCTGCTGGAGATGAGGATGGACCAGACTGAGGGGCCTGGGGGAGGGGCTGGGGGCCAGGCGACTCCTGCCCTCCGGTGTCCCCACTCCTCTAGGAGCCCCCCGTCACGTCTCTGAGTAACTCAAGGGTCCTTTGTCCCCCGAAGCCCCCTCTTCACCCTGCTTCTCCCGTCCTCCCACCTTCCTTTTTCCGTGGGAACGCTGCCTGCGGAGGTCACAGCACACAGGGAGGGGGGAGGGCTGTGCAGCGACAGAAGGCCAGTGGAGACGCCAGACAAAGGGACCGAACACGCTCATTAAGTGGCCGAGAAAGGCTGGAAGAGAGGATGGCGAGGGCCAGGGAGGCGGGAAGAGGGGAAAGGAAGGGGCTGGAGGACAGACGGGAGGCCGGGCCCCGAGTCCAGACAGAGCGGAGAAGAGAACGACTCTTCCAAAGCCCTTTGAAACTGTGCGGTCCACCCCGCCCCGTCCTCCCTGGGATTCTGCGTGCCGTCCATGAGGAGAGGAAAGGCAGAGACAAAGGCTGCCGACTCCCTCACCGAGAGTCGGAGCCATGCGGGCAGCGCCTCTGCTCCCTGCTGGCAGAGGTCACCTGGCGTTTGTCAAGGGCGCTGGAGATGAGGAGGCGGGACCTGTCCAGCTCTGACTTCATTCCAGCAACTAGGTGGTGCATTTCAATACATACCCGCTAACACTACACTACTACACTACACTACAACTGATAGCAGCTAGCGCTGACCGCAGCCTCAGTGCGCATGAAGCTGAGTGTCTCACTTAATTCTCACGAACGATCGCTTTACTGGAGAGAGGGTGCTATGACCACTCTCCACAGAACGCACACCTGCCCCAGCGGGCGCAGCAAGGGACCTGTGCTCCGGCCCAAGCAGCCAGCACCAAATCCTGGGTTCCAACCCTTCCTCTGTAAGCCGCAGCTGTGTGGCCTGGAGAGTCAGCTCCGACTCAGGCCCGGCTAACACCTGCATCGAGGAAGAGACGGAGTCACATCAAGGGGTGTGTGTCTCCCCTCCACGGCGGTGCTACAACCACTGAGTCTGAGTACTGCCACGTGACCCAGACAGCACCGGGCTCACCCGAGTGGCACAGAGGGAGGCGTGGGGGCCGGCCCCTGACTCCCAGCCCGGTCCTCCTTCCACTCTGCAGTGGCCAGACCTTCCTTCCCAAGCAGCTAGCCAGGTGCAGAGATCCAGGTTCCGGCGCCCATCCCGATGCCAAAGGCATCCTGACCTTCTGGGGCACTGGGCCTGCAGGCAGGGCCAGACCCCCCGGGGAAGGGGAGACTGGGTGGGGACGACTGGAAGCGGGGTTGCAGTACTGACTTGGGTCACCCCAAGTCTGTGACCAGGAAGATCAAGAACACAAAAAGCAACGCTCACAGGAGCTGTGTCATCCCTAGGCTGTCACTGGCACAGCGGAGATGAGGCATGGGCAGAAACTGGTCTCCACGAGGCACCTACGGTGTGGCAGTGCCGTCTGGCTGGCTGTGAGGTCCCCAGTGGCAGAGCCAGACGCCCCCGAGCTGCCTCCCAGCCTCTGCCAGCCACCAGCTCTGTATTCTTGAGCGAGTGACCCTGCCCAATGGGTGCCAGGGGTTGCTTCAGAGCCGCTGCAAGCATGAAATCAGACCGCCAGGCCCTCACACCAGAACGGGGTGCGGCTCTGCCAGCGTTGCTCACGGGACCTAGTGCAGACCACCAGCTTTAATCCCCAGCGACGCCGACCCAACTGTGACTGCTGTCTGTGCCTGAGGACCGAAGGGCTCTAGGACACTAGATGCCTTGCCCCAAATCGCACGGCCACACTGAGACCACGACTGGGTCAGAATCCGTACCTGCTGGAGCCCAGGGTGAGCCCTCCCTGACCACACTGTGCTGCGTCCACCTGCAGCCAGCGGTCAGCACCGTGACCAGAAGCACCCCCCGACCCGCACACTCTGACCCAGAGGTGGACGGTGGGCTCCACGCTAGAGGCAGCACCTACCCGGAGGCAATCAGCACCCGGGACTGGGCGATGGCCAGCCGCTGCAGGTTGTTCCGATTCAGAGTGGCCAGGGCCACCCTCCTGGTCTTGCTGTCAGCTCCTGGCGGGCTGGCAGGAGAGCCCGCCGCGGTCCCCGGCACCATGCTGGTGGCCTGTCTCCGGATGGCCTGCGCTGGGGCGGGCTTGCCCAGGCCTCGCATGGTGCCTGTGCTGTCCAGGGGCTTGGGCCCAGGGCCCAGGGCCGGAGGCACCTTTGTGGCCCCGGAGTGGGGTGCACTGTTCTTGCGCGTCGCTGTGGAGGGCTGGGGTGCGGTGCTCCCGTGGGCCACAGCCGCCTTGACGCTCATGACCAGCACACACTGTGGACAGGCGCAGGGAGGCCCGGGGGGTGAGGTGGGCAGTGCGGGGCTGAGCGGCCAGGACTGCGGCTTGGGCAGGGAGCCCGTGACCATGGGGTAGACGAGGTCGAGGCGCCGGCGCACGCGGCGCTGCCTCTGGGTCTGCCGGTTGATCTGGCCCATGGTGCTGAAGTCGATGACGTAGCTGAAGCCGATGGGCGTGAGATCCACCCAGGGGTGCTGCTTCTCATAGGCGTGCTGGATGGTGATGCCCACCTCCATGTCGTAGGGCGTCCAGGAGCCGTTGTCGTTCTCCCACTCCCACACCACGCCCTTCCCGGGGGCCGAGGACGGATCGTAGTAGTTGCGGCGAACTGGGCGGAGGGTCCCTGCCAGGGTAGGACAGAGGGAGGTCAGGGCAGCGCACAGCGAAGGGAGCTGCGTTAATACGCAGACATCAAAGGAGTCCTACTGTGGGTGGGCACTACGCAGCCTGTTGAGGTGACGTCTTTGAGAATCATTCTTGCCTTTTATTTCTTTACGATTTCAATACTGGGGATGGAAAACCTAGAATCTTTCCACTGAGCTATATCCCTAGCCCTTCAAAATATTTTAAATTTTGAGACAGGGTATCACTAAGTTCTCAAGTTGGCCAGGGTAGGTTTGAACTTGGAATCCTCCTGCCTCAGCCTCCCAGAGTGCTGGGATTACAGGTGTGGGCCACCCTGCTCAGCTTCCTTCCTACCTATAAGGAGCCTACAACCAAATCAGGCTGGAAGCAGAGGAAGCAGCGTGAAGCAAGCGGAGGGAAGCTAGTACCAGACAGCGGAGAGAATGCCTCTTGGCTTGCAGTTGGGACAGAATGGTTTGCAAACAAATTAATTCACTTAGTAGCTGATAAAGGAGGCTGGGCCAGTGCTCCTGCCTGAGAACCAGGACGATCACTCTTTCCCAGGGGTTCTGTAAAACTGAGATGTGACTCATTTGTTCAACTCAACAAATATTTGTACACCTCAGGGACTAGATCTCACACGCACACCCTGCAACTTACCCGGGGGCATACAAAGCCCGTGACAGAGAGGGGGTGCTCAGAAACGCCCGCTCCCTGTCCCTCTGCTTGTCCTGCCTTGAGGGCTACAGGGGTAATGGACAGGGAGCTGGGGGAGCACGGAGGACACAGGGTCAGCTCTGCTTCCATCTCAGGGGCGTTGCAGCTGGCCATGGCTTTTCAGGGTGCGACTGAACAGAAGGTGTGTTACTGGGGGGGCGGTCAGCGGGAAGAACTTGCGGGTATGTCCCAGCATTAACTTTTAGGACAACAACGGTGACACTCTCTCCCCATGGACACTCGGGTACTCTAATAATTACTCTAGGTCTCTCCTTCAGAAGCTTTGACCCTCCTGAAGATAGAGTGCTGTACCTGGCTAGTCTCACCGGGGGTAAAGAGGACGCTGGGTCAGTCAGCCTAACAGCAGGCAGAAAGGGCCGGGAGCAAGCCCAGAGCCCACGGAGGCCTGACTGCTCCTTTCTCCGCTGTGGGCCCCACACCTGGACCCAGACCATCCCCCTGGCCAGGGCTCCTTCCAGCCAAGGACACTGGGCTGCCAAGGGTTTGGCTGAAGGCGGGCTGAGAGCGGGGAGGGCTTCGGGTGCTGGGTTTCCTGCTGTCTCGGCCCAGCCAGACCCATGGAGCGGTGGGAAAAGGCTCCCCCTCGCTGGCCTCTGACCTAGCCCCTCCTGCAACCCAGGGGAGACCCCAAGACTGGGGACAGAATCCCATTCAAGGGGGGAAGAAAAGGAACAATGGCTATTCAGGCTTGTGCCAAGGTCATAACCCACTCCCCAGCCCATCTCCAAGCCCCCTAATGACCCAAAACATCAACATTCAGGGGCACAAGGGAGGCGTAGAACAATCCACCATTCAAGCCCAGGCCTCTGGTGGGAGCCGGGGTCTCAGGGGAGGAGGAGGGGCAGGCAGCAGCCGCTCAGCCCCATTTCCTTCCGAAGGGCCAGGGCCGGCTGGCTGGGAACGGAGACGAGGGGATCCCACCCCTCCAGCTCTGTGGTCCAGCCTCAGTTGCCCCAGGCGCTCCTCCTGGGTGGCCACTTCAACAGGTGGATTTGAGGGTCAGGCAAAGATAAAGGCTCCAAAGTGGCACCTGTCCCAGGGCAAGGGGTCAACACAATGGTGACTATTGTTGGAACCTGTGTTCTACTGCATGGGGACGGTACTGGGAACGCCGTTCAGCGGATGCAGCGTGTGTATGCGTGTTCTTTCCTTCCTTCCATCTTTTCCTTTTTCTGTGGTATTGAGCTGAGGACCCTCAGGCTGAACTACATTCCCAGCTCCCTGTGTTGTATTTCTGACACAGTCTTGCTAAGTCCCTAGGTTGTCTGGGTGGGGTTCCGACTTATGACCCTGCTGCCTCAGCCTTCCAGCACATTGGGACTACAGGTGGGGGCCACCATACCCCGCCCTCTTTTGCCACCTCTGCCCACTGAAATTCTCCTCATCCTCACTGCCATCTCCCCTCATCTCCTGAAACCTTCTCCTAGCTGAGGCCCCACGCCAGGGAAGTCCGAGGTGCGGACTCTGACCATCAGTGCATGCCGGGTGTGCACACTTTTGATGGTGCTGTGAGTGGGGGGCGGGGAGGCTGCCAGGCAGGTCTTTGTACTCCAGGGCCTGGTGCACTCCCTCACAGTTGCGAGGTCCCTTCGGCCTACACTGGGGTGGACTGGAGGCTCTAGCTGCCTGCCCAGCCACTTTATCACTGATCACATATTGCTGAGCACCCATTAGTTGCTATGGAGAAGGCAAAACTCAAGCATTCCCCAGGCACTGCAGGACTCCAAGGGGTTAGAAGACAAGAGCGTGTGTGGCTATTTTTGATGCACAATGTGCCACAGAGCCTGTTGGCAGGAAGTCCGACCACATCTCCTCCTCGCTAAATCCCTTCCATTGACTTCCCTGCCAACCCCTCCACCCACCAGCCTCTCCAGGGTCCCCTGGCTGGCTTGAGCAGGTCGAATGCTCAAGTTCTGGTCCCTAGTTTTTACAGCACTTATGTGAATGTGTAGTCACACATTTATTTGCATCTAGTTTAATGGCTATTTGGTTCCTTCCCAGGAGTCCCAGTCCCACGAAAGTGGTCGCAGATGTGTTTTCCCACGTGTGAGCTACGTCCTGTGGGTTCACAAATTGTGGGTGGAATGAGGGTGTGACGATCTGGGTCATACTGGAAAAAGCAGGTGACGAAGTGCACAGGCTTTGATTGATAAGGAGAATTTCAACAGGCAAAGCTGGCGAGGAGGGTCATTTTTGTTGAAAGGACCTTGTAAACAGCTGAGGTGGGGAACATGCTGGAGAACTCTGGGAAATTATAAGGCAGCTCCTAAGAAGACAAAACTCCCACATTAGGAAGCATCCCCAAATAGACAGTAAAGGCATCCAGAGAAAGAGAGAGCAGTCGCCCCAGGTAAGGACTTGCAAGTCTTTTGTTCAGGGGACGCTCTGGCTCCCAGCTTTACACCGTGGCTTGGGGATGCTGGGTAACTTAATTAAACATTGCCAGGGCCTGGCCGAGGTTGCCCGGGAGCTGGTGGCTTCAAGTTCCTCCTCCGTCAGGGTCTCATCAATGAACTACACTGAGAGGAGCTACGGGGGTCTCAGTGGGAAAAACCGAGGAGGGGGCTCAAGCCCACAGCCCCAAAGCCTCTATTCTGCTCTGACAAGTTCCTGCACTCGGCCTTCCTGGGAACTCAGCCCAGGGCCTTCAGAGCTGGCACAGGGCTTGGCACTCAGGACAGGCGCTGGGGAAGGTGGGGAGGATACTAAACACACCCAGAAGGGTCCTGCAAAGACCCAGGGCTGGGCCTCCGCCTCCACTCTAAACTCTGGCTGAACTGCGAACCAGCAGGCAGTGGCCAGTCTGTCCTCAGATAAGAGTGACCAGACCCTGGCGGGCACCTTCGTGCATCCACCCGGGTTCCTCTCCAGCTCTCCAACTTTGCTAGCCAGAAGCATCCTCTGGGATGGAGAAAGTCCCCTCCCACGTAGCATGTCCATCCCGGTCACCCCTAAACACAGGTTAAACCTCTGTCCTTCCCAGAGCAGGACAGGGGCCGGGGCCTGTACACTGCCAGGGTGGTTCTCCATATGTGCAGAGATTTCGTCTGAAATAGAAAAGCTAACGCCAGCTATTTTTATTCTGAGCAGGACAGGGATTCCCCGTCAGGTGGCCTCAGACTGGGCCCACCCCTGGGGACCAGTGCCACCCCCCCCACTCCCACAGTCTGGCGCCGCTACAACCCCTCAGCAAGTTGCACAATTACCTTCTCAGCCACACTTAATCCTTCCCCATCTCCCCGCATTCCTCCTCCTCCTCCTCCTCTCCTCCCTCCCTTCCCTGCCAAGGCTTAAGCCTGCCAGATGCGAAAACTTCTGGAATCCTTTCCCCCGAAAGCTGCACGCACTCGGCCAGCGTCTGCACAATCCTTGGCAAGGAGGCTGCTGGCGTCAGGATGAAAGAGCGGACCCAGGGAGGAAAGAGACCCCTTTCCCATGACAGCGCTCATTAGCACACAGGATGTGCGGCTTTCCTAGGAAGCTGGCCGGCCTGCGCCGGCAGCTGTTCTCCCAGCCACAGGGCCCTCCTCCTCCTCCTCGTCCTCGTCATCCTCCCTCCCTGTCACACCTGCTCTCCAGGCCCCGAGGAGGAGGAGAAGGAGGACGTCACACTCCTGGGACAGCTCAGCCCGAATTCCAAAAACACCTCCTCACGCCCACAAGGCGGGGAAAGGGGAGGCAGATTCGTCCCAGGTCGGCAGCTGCAGCACAGGGCTCAGCCATGCGCTCCCGCTCCCCCGGTCCCCCCTCCGGTGGCCCCTGCCCCTACGCCCCCCAGGCTCCCTCCCGCCGCTGCCCGGCAGCCCGGCTCGCCGGGAAGGAGGCTCGTGGCGGCCTCAGCGGCAGCTTGATTCTCACGGGAAGACAGTGTAGTAGCGCGCTGGGAAGCCAGCATCCCTCAGCGGCTACGGATTCCGACAGACGCTTGAGGGTTCCTCCGTAGGAATCCGCCGCGGCCTCCAGGGACAAAGGGAGCGGCCTGCCTGCCGGGCATTCCCGGGCGGGCCTCCTCCTGTCTCCATCGGCTCGGGCTGTTGCTTCGCCGCCCGGGGCGCACACCAGACCTCCCGGGACGCCCCGGCAGCCCGGAGGTGCCCCCCGGAGTGCCGCGCCGCGGGTCTCGCCTCCCAGACAGGCCCCCTTCCCGTGCTAGAAGCAGCCGGCCCCGGGGATCCCGCCTTCCTCGCCCGCTGCACCCCGGGGCCGGCGGGGCTCCAGAGGCGCGGCGGGGTGGACAGCAGGTGGCAGGCCCGGGGCCCG